GTAATGTCATTTGTATGACATTGTAAGAATGTGTGCGAATAATGAACAGAGAAAAGAAAGAAGAAACTTTTTAATACTTGGCACTAAAATATTTTTACAACACGTGCCAAACAATTTCTTTGAAGGAAACTAGAACAGATCTGTACCGTGATGAAATACTTGCAGTTAAAGTATATAATTTAGGTAAAGAGGAAAACTAATTTCAGTTAAAAAAGTTAAGAGAATGATATGACAGTTTCAACGTTTTGCTTTTCAATACTAATTATGTTTTGTCATACTAACAGCGTTAATGTTGTTGGAAAAGCTTTTGCTAATTGTGACAAGTAGAAATCAGTACTAAAGTTATCTCTGTTTTTTCTTTTACATCATAAAAATGAAAGAATAATTTAATGAATTATTATTTGGAGTTCATTCATAAATGTATGTATACTTATACACAGGTATGCTTGACTGCCGGTTTAATGATCCATAAATGATGTGAAGAACTTTTAATGTCAAATACTTAACATAACTGTCTTCTAATGAACATTTCATTGTAAGCTACTGATATAGGGACTTATAAGCATTTATCGAAGGTTTATAGTACAAATTTTGTATGGAAATTTTTGTGTTATAAACCTTTCATAAATGTTTACAAATCTTTACAAAATCTCTCATTAGCCTAAATGTTACAATAAAAACTGCTCCCATTTTTCCAAAAGCAAACATATCAATTTTGTATCCATTTAATTTTATCTACTTTGATTGAATAAATTTCATGCTCAACTTTTAATCTGAAATTCTAAAATTCTCAACAAAAACTAACATGAAAATAACTTTATAACAACTTTGCAAAAATTGCAAATAAAAAAATCTAATAATTACTAATTGTTAAATAATTTTTCTTGCACCACAACGATAACGATAGAAAAAAATGTTTTACGGAAATACCAACATAATTACACAACAGTTGTATATGTACAACTGCCAATAGCAATTTTCCTAATATTTAATTACGTAGAGACAGCAAAGAGTAAAGACCAACATAAATTAACATTTGCTATACACAAATCTGACCAAGGGAGGTGGGGCAGAGTGAAAAAAAGAAAAAAATAATTTAAAAATTATTCGTTTTCTCTACTAGCCTTCCCCTTGTTGGTCCTGCAGCTAGATGCGTGCATATAACACAATAGCCCCTACTTTGGTCTGGCATAACTGTAAGGATGGCAACAATAGCATTATGTAGACTAGAAATAATAATTGCTGCAGTTGATGTTAGTGCTGTTAAGGCTTCAAAGTATTCTCTAGAATTTACTTGTTGGCTACCACTTCAAAACAGTGTTAAGCAGACAAATTTGTCTGCTATGGATGTTTCATTTTCTTTAGTATTTTCTTTATTTCATTGTAATATACTTGCCAGCCTTAAAGTATTGTTGAGTCTTGCAAATATATATGTATGTTGTTGTTGTTGAGAGAATATTTTAAATTTCTAATGAAGCTTATAAAATCATGACTTCTATAATTAATAATATCTTTGACATAAAATTCCTTGAAGCAGTTGGGGAATATAAAGAAAATGCAAAGATTTGTCTGTGAAATGTAAAAAAAAAAAGGAATAAATTGTGGGAATTTGAGGAATAAGAAAAAAGATTTTTGGATAATTCAGTGTATATTTCTCTTCAGATGTTGAGCAGAAGTCTTCATTTATATATCATCATTCATATTTTATCTGCTTTAAAATTGTTCTATTCAACGACCAGCCTCTATAAGTGCTCTCAATATTTCTTTAATGGAGGGTCATAAACTCTCAGCGGGAAAAAGGGGACCATAGATTTTGTGAAAACTCAACTTACATGGAAAAAGTTGAAAAGAGAGAGATAGAGAAAGAGAAGAAGAAATGTTCTTACTTCTTAAACAGGAGTCAGGAAAGGAGAAATCACAGATTTTCCAAAGACCAACTTGCATGGACGGGAACAGCAGAATACTAGAAAGTGATTGATAGAAAATAGAAAGTAAGTAACTGAATTAGCACTGAACTAGAACTAAACTGAATTAGGTCTGAACTGGGTCAGAACTAGAACTGAACTAGAACTGAACTAGAACTGAACTAGAACTGAACTAGAACTGAACTAGAACTGAACTAGAACTGAACTAGAACTGAACTAGAACTGAACTAGAACTGAACTAGAATTGAACTAGAACTGAACAAGAACTGAACAAGAACTGAACAAGAACTGAACTAGAACTGAACTAGAACTGAACTAGAACTGAACTAGAACTGAACTAGAACTGAACTAGAACTGAACTACAACTGAATACAACTGAACTAGAACTGAGCTAGAACTGAACTAGAACTGAACTAGAACTGAACTAGAAACTGACTAGAACTGAACTAGAACTGAACTAGAACTGAACTAGAACTGAACTAGAACTGAACTAGAACTGAACTAGAACTGAACTAGAACTAGAACTAGAACTGAACTAGAACTGAACTAGAACTGAACTAGAACTGAACTAGAACTGAACTAGAACTAGAACTGAACTAGAACTGAACTAGAACTGAACTAGAACTGAACTAGAACTGAACTAGAACTGAACTAGAACTGAACTAGAACTGAACTAGAACTGAACTAGAACTGAACTAGAACTGAACTAGAACTGAACTAGAGCTGAACTAGAACTTAACTAGATCTGAATAAGAACTGAACTCGAACTGAACTAGAACTGAACCAGAACTGAACTAGAACTGTACTAGAACTGAACTAGAACTGAACTAGAACTGTACTATAACTGAACTAGAAATGAACTAGAACTGAACTAGAACTAAACTGGAACTGAACTAGAACTGAACTAGAACTGAACTAGAACTGAACTAGAACTGAACCAGAACTGAACCGGAACTGAACAAGAACTGAACCAGAATTGAACCAGAACTGAACCAGAACTGAACTAGAGCTGAACTACAACTGAACTAGTAATGTTCGTGAAGAATTTCCATTTTGACATAAGTTGTGCGAAACATAACTCTATATGTTGATTCCCATATCATCCAATCCAATTTAGGCCAGCAGAAGTTGATGGCCGTTGACCACAATGCTCGTCATTGTAGTGTCATTCTCAAAGAAATATGGACCAAACCAAAATCCTCACTAAACATTAACTCTATCGGAATGCTTTGTACTCTCCTGAATCACATGACAGATTTTGTACAAAAATGCGCCTTAATGCTGAATATCAAAGTCAATGCGACAGATTTAAATTCTAGAAAATGTTAGCGGCCATGTCAAAAATCAAAGTTCAAAAATTTATATGTATTGGGAAACCCTTTACTCATCATCTATAATGTTTAGTGAATAGTCTATGAATACTCTATAGTTAAATAGTTGAATGGTCAATATCCTTTAACCTTTAATAAAAGAAACTCATTGATTTCTTGCATAAAATAAGACATAAAATAACCTATATAACCTATTGATACACTCAATGAAAAACAATCTTAAAAGAGCAATCACCTTCTTCCGTCTATGTATAGACCTAATTACATCTCCTGAGTATTACTTAAGTTCTGTTGCATACCTTTAGGTTAAATTTTTCAATCATATAATTATTTAGTTTAATTTAAATTGTAATTTTCTTAACAACAAGTGCATTTAACAGATCGACTCTTTTAACTATAGCCAATAGCATTTTCTCATTTTAATTTATTTTTTTATTTTTTCATTAAATAATCCTCTTAGTTTCTTGAGTAATATGTTTATAGATTGTAGTATAGAGAATTAATTTAAATGTTATTTGCTGTGTAAGCATAATAGGGTTTTTTTGTTTTGTAAAATTTTCTATATTTTAGCATTATAACGAACAATACATTTTACCAGATTTACTCTAACAAACGTTTGTCAGAGTAAATTGTAAACAAGTTGTTTTCCCATTGAGTACAATTGCCAGTTGAAGCACAATATGCAATTTGCATAATATATGGCTTTATTGTCACATGTGACGTATAAGTAATGAATACAATTTTAGTTAAACTATTGAGACTATGTGCAAGTATTAAGCATATATTGTTATATCATGTACATAAGGTTGGGTCAATTTTCTTTATAAATTTCAATATATATTTATCACAGACCTTTTAAAGTTTCATTTTCCTGATAACTTCTGAAGAATTTAAATATTTGATTGTGTTTATTGTGTATTGGAGAATGCAGCAGGCTTTTTGATTTTTGGTTCTGGTTTATTAACATAAATTGAGTTATTTGTGAGGCCCATAGAAAATTTAATATTCCATTTCCAAAGATATCCTATTAACATATTGTAACTACTTTTAATGCAAATGAGTTTTGTATCTTAGATCTATAACAGATAATAATAGTTGAGTATTTGTATAATAAGCTACAGCTGAGACAAATTTTACGGCTAAGTATAAAATTTAGTTTAAATAGAAATTCACCTTTAAGTATCAATCGAGATCAAACAATCGCGAAAATCGATCATGCTTCATTGTACAAGTCCTTGTACAGGCGGGCGGTTGACCCCACTTAACATTAACCAATTCCTTAGCAATAATCATTTCAAATTTCCTGAAAAATGTTTTCCTGCATTACGATGCTTGTAATCGTTTTTAATCTCTCGACAACTAGACATTTCACTCATCATTCCCAAACAGTTTAACTGCAATTTGAAATGTTTGTTGAATTTTCATTTGAAACTATTAACAGAAACTTGAGAATGGTCAGTAAAATTGTACATACATACATACATACATGTATAATACATAAGTATGTGAGGCATGTATGTGTTTTTATACGATGATGTGAGGATGTTTTGAGTAATTTTGAAATCATACTTTTAATGCTGTTGTTATGTAAATTTCTCATTGTTCAAAATTTATTCACACTTTAAGTGTCTACTATTTAGCATTTGATCATTGTATGCAAATTTTGTTTTCGAAATTTTGGCCTGATTTAAAAGGTATTTTTCTTATTAACTTGTTTATATGTATGTCTACTTGATTTTTTCAGATATTATACATGGCAAATTGTTTCAAAACAATCGTTTTTTGGAAATCGATTATGCTCAGGGTCGTGATATACCTCCCGGTTATACTGCCAAAATAGCTGAAACTTTACAGGATTGGATTGATTCATGTGATGCCATTTCCAACTGTATTGTCGATCAAATCAGAATGGCTAATGCGGAAAAATCTAAGAAATTGGATAATAAGAAACAAATTGAACAGGAGGTGAGTTAAGAGCCAATATAAAGAACTGAACCAAAACCGAACTAGAAAATTAGAACAGAACTAAAACAGAACTAGAAAAGAACTAGAATATAACTAGAAAAGAACTAGAACAGAACTAGAAAAGAACTAGAAAAGAACTAGAACAGAACTAGAACAGAACAAGAAAAGAACTAGAACAGAACTAGAACAGAACAAGAAAAGAACTAGAAAAGAACTAGAACAGAACTAGAACAGAACTAGAAAGAACTAGAAAAGAACTAGAAAAGAACTAGAAAAGAACTAGAAAAGAACTAGAACAGAACTAGAACAGAACAAGAAAAGAACTAGAACAGAACTAGAACAGAACTAGAACATAACTAGAACAAACTAGAACAGAACTAGAACTGAACTAGAACAGAACTAGAACAGAACTAGAACAGAACTAGAACCAGAACTAGAAGAGAACTAGAACAGAACTAGAACAGAACTAGAACAGAACTAGAACAGAACTAGAACAGAACTAGAGCAGAACTAGAACAGAAATAGAACAAAACTAGAACAGAACTAGAACAGAACTAGAACAGAAATAGAACAGAACAGAACTAGAAGAGAAATAGAACAGAACTAGAACAGAACTAGAACAGAACTAGAACAGAACTAGAACAGACTAGAACAGAACTAGAACAGAACTAGAACAGACAATAGAACAGAACTAGAACAGAACTGGAACAGAACTAGAAACAGAACAGAACCTAAGAACTAGAACCGAACAGAACAGAACTAGAACAGAAAAACAGAACTAGAACAGAACTAGAACAGAACTAGAACAGAACTAGAACAGAACTAGAACAGAACTAGAACAGAACTAGAACAGAACTAGAACAGAACTAGAACAGAACTAGAACAGAACTAGAACAGAACTAGAACAGAACTAGAAACAGAACTAGAACAGAACTAGAACAGAACTAGAACAGAACTATAACAGAACTATAACAGAACTATAACAGAACTATAACAGAACTAGAACAGAACTAGAACAGAACTAGAACAAACTAGAACAGAACTAGAACAGAACTAGAACAGAACTAGAACAGAACTAGAACAGAACTAGAACAGAACTAGAACAGAACTAGAACAGAACTAGAACAGAACTAGAACAGAACTAGAACAGAACTAGAACAGAACTAGAACAGAACTAGAACAGAACTAGAACAGAACTAGAACAGAACTAGAACAGAACTAGAACAGAACTAGAACAGAACTAGAACAGAACTAGAACAGAACTAGAACAGAACTAGAACAGAACTAGAACAGAACTAGAACAGAACTAGAACAGAACTGAAACAGAACTAGAACCATAACTAGAACAGAACTATAACAGAACTAGAACAGAACTAGAACATAACTAGAAATAACAGAACGAGAACAGAACTAGACATAACTAGAACATGAACTAGAACAGAACTAGAACAGACTAGAACATAACTTAAACAGACTAGAACAGAACTAAACAGAACTAGAAAAGAAACTAGAACAGAACTAAAGACAGAACTAGAACAGAACTAGAACCGAACTAGAACAGAACTAACAGAACTAGAACAGAACTAATAACATAACTAGAACAGAACTAGAAACGGAACTAGAACAGAACTAAACAGAACGAGAACAGACTAGAAAAAGAACTAGAAACAGACCAGACGAACAGAACGGAACAGACAAACGTTGAACAGAACTCAACTTACCTAAGAACTGACTAGAACTGAACCTAGAACTGACTAGAACTGAACTATGAACAGAACTAGAACTGAACTAGAAACTGAACTACAACTGAACTAGAAGCTGAAATGGAAGCAGAACTAGAAGTTGAAATAGAAGCAGAACTAGAAGTTGAAATAGAAGCTGAACTAGATGTTGAAATAGAAACTGAACTAGAACTGAACTAGAACTGAACTAGAACTGAACTAGAACTGAACTAGAACTGAACTAGAACTGAACTAGAACTGAACTAGAACTGAACTAGAACTGAACTAGAACTGAACTAGAACTGAACTAGAACTGAACTAGAACTGAACTAGAACTGAACTAGAACTGAACTAGAACTGAACTAGAACTGAACTAGAACTGAACTAGAACTGAACTAGAACTGAACTAGAACTGAACTAGAACTGAACTAGAACTGAACTAGAACTGAACTAGAACTGAACTAGAACTGAACTAGAACTGAACTAGAACTGAACTAGAACTGAACTAGAACTGAACTAGAACTGAACTAGAACTGAACTAGAACTGAACTAGAACTGAACTAGAACTGAACTAGAACTGAACTAGAACTGAACTAGAGCAGAAGTAGAACAGAACTAGAACAGAACTGAACTAGAACTGAACTAGAACTGAACTAGAACTGAACTAGAACTGAACTAGAACTGAACTAGAACTGAACTAGAACTGAACTAGAACTGAACTAGAACTGAACTAGAACTGAACTAGAACTGAACTGAACTATAACTGAACTGGAACTAAACTATAACTGAACTGGAACTAAACTGGAACTGAATATACTCGAGGCTATTAACAGATCTATAGCCAGATCTAAATACTGACCTGTAGAATATTAGTTCTTGCTGTTCAGTTCTGTAGTTCATATTTTTAATATTTTCCTAATTTCTTTGATATATTAAAACTTATTTTAATAATCAAATGCCAAAACACCTAAACATGACTCATTAAATAAATTCCTGAAAAATAAAAAATTATTTATTTTAAACTGTTTTTGTTGTTTTTAAATTAATGCGGAAAAACTTTGAAAAATTAAAATAACAACATTAACAAAGACAACAGCACAATTTAAAAAGTTTCTAACAATTTCCATAGCTTTATTATTCCTGTATTTATTTTACTCAATTACAAGTAATTATTAATTTAATTAAAAGTTTTCATTGTTAAAAAAAGCAAAACAAAGGACAAGCAGGAATTCACGTTTCTACTTGTTTAAAATTCATAGTTGTTGTTGTAAAAAGATAAATTAAAGAAAATACTAAACAACAATGTTTTCCTCACCTCCTTGCAGATAATTAATTTGAAGAAAGTTTTAAAAACACAAATCAATGACAATGATGAAGCCATGCAAATCGATTCACGTGAAACCTCATCCACCAGTCAGGAGGCGCGCAAAAAAAGTTCTAAAGTTAAACCATCACGATCAACGGGTAAGTTTCACGCAATGAAAAAAAAAACAACAAAGTTAAAAATCTGTTAGTCAAACATCCAACCATCTATCTATCCAATCATTCATTCAATTGTGGTGGCTAAAAGTTGTGGTTTTTGTTGTTGTTTAGTGTTCATCCTTGTTGATTCTTTCTTAGTTAGTTGGTTATCTTTGATGGCAACTTACTGAGTTGTGTGTGTTACGGGACAAAAGTTACAAACAAAAATACATGACTAAACATACAAACTGTTTTCCTTAACTTGACTGACAAAGTGAGCAGTACACAGATTGAATTTATGGTTCCCTTTCCCCAACTAAACAAAGCCAAAATGACAGTATGAATACTAAGAGTGAATGATAGTTTAACTATTAACCCTTAAAGGGCACAAAGGGTTATAAAAATATAGACGTTTCTAGTTATAACAATATATAAAAAATGGACCTGTCTCTCAAGAGCGATTTGTAGTGTAATAATAAAAACAGGTTTGTTCCCTCTTAGTGGGTTAACATTAAGCAGTTGTGTTTAGGGTTAGCTACCCCTTTTCATTAGCAGTTGAATTTATTCATGCGGAAATGGTTTCTCTTCAACGGATTTTTTTATGCAGGATATTCCACTTTTTCTGACACACATGGAGATTATTTCTTTTTGCAATCAATTTAAAGTCGAAACTTTAATTCTGTGAAAATAATGAATTTTTAAATCTTTGAATTTTAGTTCAAAAACTTGATTATTAGTGAAAAATTGAATTATTAGTTAACAATTGAATTTTTAGTGTTCAACAAGATTTTTGGTGAAATATTTTTATCGAAAATTTAATTTTTAATAAAAAAAAAAGAAAAAAATAAATACAATTTTAGTGAAAAATAGATTTTTAGTGAAAAATTTAAGTGAAATTTTTAGTGATATGTGAAATTATTAGTGAAAATGTGATATTTTGTGTTAAATTAAATTTTATGTGAAAAAATATTTGTGAAAAAATAAATTTTGGTGAAATTTTGAAAGTTTAGAACTTTAGCAAAACATTTTCTTGAGAAAGCTGATCACTCTGTGATCAATATTCTAAATAAAAACTGAACAAGGACTGCACTAGAAGCTGAAATGGAAGCTGAACTATAAGTTGAAATAGAAGCTTAACTAGAACTGAACTAGAAGCTGAAATGGAAGCAGAACTAGAAGTTGAAATAGAAGCAGAACTAGATGTTGAAATACAAGCTAAACTAGATGCTGAAATAGAAACTGAAATAGAACTGAACCAGAACTGAACTAAAACTGAACTAGAACTGAACTAGAACTGAACTAGAACTGAACTAGAACTGAACTAGAACTGAACTAGAACTGAACTAGAACTGAACTAGAACTGAACTAGAACTGAACTAGAACTGAACTAGAACTGAACTAGAACTGAACTACTGAACTAGAACTGAACTAGAACTGAACTAGAACTGAACTAGAACTGAACTAGAACTGAACTAGAACTGAACTAGAACTGAACTAGAACTGAACTAGAACTGAACTAGAACTGAACTAGAACTGAACTAGAACTGAACTAGAACTGAACTAGAACTGAACTAGAACTGAACTAGAACTGAACTAGAACTGAACTAGAACTGAACTAGAACTGAACTAGAACTGAACTAGAACTGAACTAGAACTGAACTAGAACTGAACTAGAACTGAACTAGAACTGAACTAGAACTGAACTAGAACTGAACTAGAACTGAACTAGAACTGAACTAGAACTGAACTAGAACTGAACTAGAACTGAACTAGAACTGAACTAGAACTGAACTAGAACTGAACTAGAACTGAACTAGAACTGAACTAGAACTGAACTAGAACTGAACTAGAACTGAACTAGAACTGAACTAAAACTGAACTAGAATTGAACTAGAACTGAACTAGAACTGAACTAGAACTGAACTAGAACTGAACTAGAACTGAACTAGAACTGAACTAGAACTGAACTAGGACTGAACTAGAACTGAACTAGAACTGAACTAGAAACTGAACTAGAACTGAACTAGAACTGAACTAGAACTGGACTAGAACTGAACTAGAACTGAACTAGAACTGAACTAGAACTGAACGAGAACTGAACTAGAACTGAACTAGAAACTGAACTAGAACTGAGCTAGAACTGAACTAGTACTGAACTAGAACTGAACTAGAACTGAACTAGAACTGAACTAGAACTGAACTAGAACTGAACTAAAACTGAACTAGAACTGAACTAGAACTGAACTAGATCTGAACTAGAACTGAACTAGAACTGAACTAGAACTGAACTAGAACTGAACTAGAACTGAACTAGAACTGAACTAGAACTGAACTAGAACTTAATTAGAACTGAACTAGAACTGAACTACTTAATTAGAACTGAACTAGAACTGGACTAGACTGAACTAGAACTGAACTAGAACTGAACTAGAACTGACTGAACTAGAACTAGAACGAACTAGAACTGAACTGAACTGAACTAGAACTGAACTGAAACTAGAACTGAACTAGAACTGAACTAGAACTGAACTAGAACTGAGCTAGAACTGAACTAGAACTGAACGAAACTGAACTAGAACACTTTTCAAATATTTTTCAAAACTTTTCATCAGCCCTTTACCTCTGGCTAGCTTTTACCAACCCCATCATTAACTTATTCATCCCCATGGAATAACATTACAAACTTACTTAGTATTTCTATTTTCTTAATGATTTATTTAAATAATATATTTCCATATCTCTGTTTTTTTTTTTGCATTTTTTCCATGTGTTTTCTTACAGATTTATTCAAATTCAGCAAGTAAAGTTAGAAAAGTAAAGTATAATTTTTTTTCCTACGCTTGAATACCAAACGCAGGAGGGTTATATTAACTTCATAACCATCTTCAGCAACAACAAGAATTTTGTCATCATCATACTCCTCCTGCATATGAGATATAAACTAAATAATGGATTTTTATTTGGAATAAAGTAAATCATGTATAAAAATTTATTTGAATTTTGAATTTTTATAACTCTTAATATTTCCTTATTTACGTCAGAAAGAAGAGAATGTGAGATAATATTGAAATGATTTGCTTTTTTCTTACTACTTGTGCACATGTCAATGTAAATTTTCAAATAAATGTCAAAATTTCTTAAATAAACATTATCTTTTTGTATTAAAGTTAAATTTTTGTTTTATTTTCTTAAATTATTGTTTATTCTAATATCGACCTTTAAGAGTTTTTGTTTTGCAATATTTTTGTATAAATTTTCTTTACAATATTGTTGTTTTTAATTTGGTTTTATTTTCATAATTGTAAACAATTTATTAAGAAAGGTAAGAAATAAAATATAAAATCTATTTTCATGTTGCTGAAGAAAAAACATTTTCCTCAGAGACCCACCAACGCAATTGTGTTTATACAAATATTATTAATATTTTATTAAAGGTTGCAGGTTGTTGGATTTAGACAAATATTTTAATGAATAAATACTTTAAATTTCATAACAAGACAGGTATAGTAACAACAGATCACGTTTCCTACGAATGATCCGTTAACTTAAAGACGTCTGCTGCTTGACGTTAATAATTAAATTCTTAAAATATAATAATATTATGCATAATTTAAATATTTTGTAGTGCGTAATTGCTAACGAAATTTAGTTTAAATTGCTCTAAGACATGTTTGATATTGAGTGATATAATTTTAATGATTTCAATTAAAAACGGGATAAATTTTATTTAAAAGAACCGTTTTATTTGTTTCAATACAAAATAATTTTGCATAAAAGTCTGCAATTTTAAAGAAATTAGTATCATTTCAAAGTTATAACCAACTAGTCAATAAACCAACAGAAAATTCTACAAAATGTTCAAATATGTAAGGACTTAAGATCTTTTATTCACAAATATAAATTAATTAATCCTTTGTTTATAACAGTTGCTCATTGCCGCTCTCTTGGCCTGTGCCTATGCCGTTTCCGATGAGGTTCATGCCGAAGTTAAAGTCTTGGATTCTGATGTTCGTCCCGATGGTTTCGATTACCATTTAGAAACTTCGAATAGCATTAACAGCGGTGCCAGTGGTGATGAACACGGTAATATTCATGGTCATTATGAATACACCTCTCCTGAGGGTGAACACATTAAGGTCGAATATGTTGCTGATGAAAATGGTTATCAACCCAGCAGTGATGTTTTGCCTACACCTCCTCCTGTACCCGCTGAAATTGTTAAGGCTTTGGAATATTTGCGTTCTCATCCAGCTTTTGAGGAGAAGCATCATTAAAGAAATGCGATCTGTTAATGTTGAGCGATCATTAAATAAATATTGAGTATATAAATATTACTGTATGTTTTGTATGGGGTTTGACCGAGGTCAAAGGTCAAGTCCTTAAAATATGAAAACTTTGATCAAGCAATGGATAGATAGATAGATAGATAGATAGATAGATAGATAGATAGATAGATAGATAGATAGATAGATAGATAGATAGATAGATAGATAGATAGATAGATAGATAGATAGATAGATAGATAGATAGATAGATAGATAGATAGATAGATAGATAGATAGATAGATAGATAGATAGATAGATAGATAGATAGATAGATAGATAGATAGATAGATAGATAGATAGATAGATAGATAGATAGATAGATAGATAGATAGATAGATAGATAGATAGATAGATAGATAGATAGATAGATAGATAGATTAGATCGATAGCTATGTATATCGACAATATTTTGCCAATTCAATTTCCGTAAGAATTTTTCCTTTAATGATTACTCCTCCGAATCGGAGCCTCACGAGTTTATGAGGAAACCATTGACACTCAACTGCTGGAAGACTTATCACTGCTAGCTCCTTGATGTCTAACTATATCGGCCTAACGTCTATTTTAGGATGCTCTCACATATTTCTTTCTAACAAACGTTTCACAGCTAGGATACTGATAGATCCAGATCTTCCTCAGCTGTGGGAAGTATCTCTTACATCCGCCGTTTTAATAAAAGCGTGGATTTCAGGCTACAGCATTACTGTAGCATTTAACAGGCGGAACTTGAGGCCATTAAAAGGGTGGTAAACTCGATGAGTTGCTACAGGATATATGTACACTAAAAATATCCAAACTTGTACTGACAGAAAACCTGCTATAAGATCTCTATATGGACTCTACACGACATCCAGACTAGTTCGCGAATGTCGACCGCTTCTCGAAACATTTCAACTTAAAGCTGCTTCGGTTTCCGCGTCATTCAGGTGCATCTGGAAATATCATAATGATTGAACGAGGGAAATGTACACTATAACTGGTGATCCTTTTTTTTTATGTGAATGTCTTACATTTGTCAGATAATCACCTGGGTCTCTCAAGACTGAGGATTTTTGTTGGTAGCCATCTTCACACTGTACTCTATGATTTACTCAGGAGACTACATTTTAAACTGTAGAAGTAGTCACAATAAGGACGAAGAAGAAATTGTTGAGCATTTGCTTTGTCTATGTTCTGCTCTATAAGGCATTAACCTAACCCAATAGTACTCTTGAGTACAAAATTGGCCTCAATCTAAACAATTACATATTTAATAATATGACCTTTGCATTATTCAAACCCCACGACCTCTTAAAAACTCTCATATACAGACATGCTTTTCGATTTATTCAAAATGTTCTTTTATTGAACGATCGCTCAATATAAACATAATATTTTCTTTAATGGTGTTTCTCCTCAAAAGCAGGATGAGAACGCAAATATTCCAAAGCCTTAACAATTTCAGCGGGTACAGGAGGAGGTGTAGGCAAAACATCACTGCTGGGTTGATAACCATTTTCATCAGCAACATATTCGACCTTAATGTGTTCACCCTCAGGAGAGGTATATTCATAATGACCATGAATATTACCATGTTCATCACCACTGGCACCGCTGTTAATGCTATTCGAAGTTTCTAAATGGTAATCGAAACCATCGGGACGAACATCAGAATCCAAGACCTTGACTTCAGCATGAACCTCATCAGATTCGGCATAGGCACAGGCCAAGAGGGCGGCAATAAGCAACTGCAATTCGAAATTAAATTATTAGAAATTTGAGAATAAATCCTTTTTTTCTTTAACACAAATAAACTTACATATTTGAACATGTTGTAGATTTTTGGTGTTAATTCCAATTGATACTACTTTCTGCTGAATTAAAGCTATTTATTCAAAATTTTTCCTTTGGTGTTTATAAGAACAAATTTTATATTAAAATTAAGCCAGTTTTAATTAGTTTAATGAATATGCCATATATTTTTATTAATAATTTTTTAATGACTTTCTAAACCTGTACTTAGTATAAAACATTTAGATAATTACTACTTATTATCATATTTATATGTTTTAAGTTATTGACATATATTTTTATTATTAAGAAATTTAAAAAATTTTTTTTTAATTTTAATATGTATGTTGAAATTAATTTTTTTCGTTTATTTTTTGCTAATATGCATTTTAACATATTTGACTTTTTTTATATTTGTTAGCAATTATTCACTCAAGTGTAAGTTACATATTTTATACATGCTATGTATTTGTAGAATAAAAGTAAATATTTGTACAGTTTGTATCTGTTAAATATTAAATGAATTCATCTTTAGAAGATACATTCTAAAATTTTCTTATATAACAGCTTCATGTATAAATTTATGCATTTCCAAGTAAACTTGCATTTTGTAAGAAGAGAAAAAGAAATTGCATAAGAATTTGTCTACATTTAAATATGTTTATTATGTTTATAATAAACTCTACAGCAAAATATTAATAATTTGTTTATCAGTAAAGTTGTATTATACGTAGTTCGGTTCTACTTCAATTCTATGTTCAGTTTTAGTTCCCCTGTTCAAGTTCTGTTCAAGTTCTTTTCTTGTTAGTTCTAGTTCAGTTCTAGTTCAGTTCTAGTTCAGGTCGTAGTTCAGTTCTAGTTCAGTTCTAGTTCAGTTTCAGTTCAGTTCTAGTTCAGTTCTAGTTCAGTTCTAGTTCAGTTTTCTAGTTCAGTTCTAGTCAGTTCTAGTTCAGTTCTAGTTCAGTTCTAGTTCAGTTCTAGTTCAGTTCTAGTTCAGTTCTAGTTCAGTTCTAGTTCAGTTCTAGTTCAGTTCTAGTTCTAAGTTTCTAGTTCAGTTCTAGTTCAGTTTCTAGTTCAGTTCTAGTCAGTTCTAGTTCAGTTCTAGTTCAGTTCTAGTTCAGTTCTAGTTCAGTTCTAGTTCAGTTCTAGTTCAGTTCTAGTTCAGTTCTAGTTCAGTTCTAGTTCAGTTCTAGTTCAGTTCTAGTTCAGTTCTAGTTCAGTTCTAGTTCAGTTCTAGTTCAGTTCTAGTTCAGTTCTAGTTCAGTTCTAGTTCAGTTCTAGTTCAGTTCTAGTTCAGTTCTAGTTCAGTTCTAGTTCAGTTCTAGTTCAGTTCTAGTTCAGTTCTAGTTCAGTTCTAGTTCAGTTCTAGTTCAGTTCTAGTTCAGTTCTAGTTCAGTTCTAGTTCAGTTCTAGTTCAGTTCTAGTTCAGTTCTAGTTCAGTTCTAGTTCAGTTCTAGTTCAGTTCTAGTTCAGTTCTAGTTCAGTTCTAGTTCAGTTCTAGTTCAGTTCTAGTTCAGTTCTAGTTCAGTTCTAGTTCAGTTCTAGTTCAGTTCTAGTTCAGTTCTAGTTCAGTTCTAGTTCAGTCTAGTTCAGTTCTAGTTCAGTTCTAGTTCAGTTCTAGTTCAGTTCTAGTTCAGTTCTAGTTCAGTTCTAGTTCAGTTCTAGTTCAGTTCTAGTTCAGTTCTAGTTCAGTTCTAGTTCAGTTCTAGTTCAGTTCTAGTTCAGTTCTAGTTCAGTTCTAGTTCAGTTTAGTTCAGTTCTAGTTCAGTTCTAGTTCAGTTCTAGTTCAGTTCTAGTTCAGTTCTAGTTCAGTTCTAGTTCAGTTCTAGTTCAGTTCTAGTTCTAGTTCAGTTCTAGTTCTAGTTCAGTTCTAGTTCAGTTCTAGTTCAGTTCTAGTTCAGTTCTAGTTCAGTTCTAGTTCTAGTTCAGTTCTAGTTCTAGTTCAGTTCTAGTTCTAGTTCAGTTCTAGTTCTAGTTCTAGTTCAGTTCTAGTTCTAGTTCAGTTTAGTTCAGTTCTAGTTCAGTTCTAGTTCTAGTTCAGTTCTAGTTCAGTTCTAGTTCTAGTTCAGTTCTAGTTCAAGTTCAGTTCTAGTTCAGTTCTAGTTCAGTTCTAGTTCAGTTCTAGTTCAGTTCTAGTTCAGTTTAGTTCAGTTCTAGTTCAGTTCTAGTTCAGTTCTATTTCAGTTCAGTTCTAGTTCAGTTCTAGTTCAGTTCAGTTCTAGTTCAGTTCTAGTTCAGTTCTAGTTCAGTTCTAGTTCAGTTCTAGTTCAGTTCTAGTTCAGTTCTAGTTCAGTTCTAGTTCAGTTCGTTCAGTTCCAGTTCAGATCTAGTTCAGTTCTAGTTCAGTTCTAGTTCAGTTCTAGTCAGTTCTAGTTCAGTTCTAGTTCAGTTCTAGTTCAGTTCTAGTTCAGTTCTAGTTCAGTTCTAGTTCTGTTCCAGTTCTGTACTAGTTCTGTTTCTAGTTCTGTTCTAGTTCAGTTCTAGTTCAGTTATAGTTCAGTTCTAGTTCAGTTCTAGTTCATTTCAAGTTCAGTTCTAGTTCTAGTTCAGTTCTAGTTCAGTTCTAGTTCAGTTCTAGTTCAGTTCTAGTATTGTTCCAGTTCTTGTTCTGTTCTTGTGCTGTTCTAGTTCTGTTCTAGTTTTATTCTAATTCTGCTCAGTTCTAGTTAAGATCTAGTTTATTTCTACTTAAGTTTTAGTTAATTTCTAGTTCAGTTTGGTTCAGTTCTAGTTTAGTTCTAACTCATTTCGTTTTTCTGAGGTCCTTGAGATATCTAGATATTTCGCAAAGTTTATTTCATTTTAGGAGAAGATGTATATCGAATCTAAGTTTTCAAATATTCCCTCTTAAGATTATTTTGATTAATCGTGTGTTTCATCTCAGACATGTTATCATAGATCACGATTAATTGTATTGTCTGTAAATTCTTAAGTAGCGCTCTCCGTCAAACTGCGCTTTATTTAGTAACTATTTTTGGTAGAAACCAGATTCACTTTTTTTTGCGCATGTATCTTAGGATTATTATTACTTTCTTCTATTATTGTTAAAACATAAATTTACAAACTGGTTTAAATCTAAAATCTATTTAAATTTTTATTTATTTTTATTTGTTGTTTTTTTTTTGTACGACTGTTTTAATTTAACGAAAAGAAAAATATATATATTTTTTTAAACAACAAAACAAAGATGTTGTTTAACACCATTTGACATTTCGGTCATTAATTTATACAAAAGATTTTAGAAGACAAAAAAAAAAAAAAACAGTTTATGGCTACAATTAAGGTATGATGAGTAAGACAAATAAACTAAAATTAACACTTTAAAGAAACGATATGATAAACTGTTTGATTTGGAATTGATATGAGAAAAATTAGTTTGGTATACATAACATTAAAAAAAAAACATGAATGAAGTTATAAACCAAAAATTAACATAAATTTATATAATTTTGAAAAAACCAAAATTGTTGTCATTCATTTTATGAGTTCAAACTGTCAGGTTTTTTTATAGCCAGCAGACCCACCAGTAAATCGTTGCCAAGAGCATGGAGATTTTTTGGATATGATAAGAAAGAAACAATTAATAGTCGTAAATCAAATTGCCACCTAAATTAATGTTTGAGATTAAATTGGTATAATACGAAATTTAAAGATTTTGGGTACAACAAAAAAATCTATTCAAATCGGGAATACAGTCTAGTTTATAATCTAGACCTTGCCATGTCCGTCCTTACGCTCATTAGTTAAAATCAACTTTTCGAAAAACTTTTTTAATAGGGAATCCTTAACTATATATTTGTCCAACTATCGAGAATTTGGGTCCTTTAAGTCAACTAAGTCAGTCTATAAATGGTTGAGATATAATCGAAGTATCTGAATTTGTATGTCTGTCCATACTTTAAAGGAATGAACTTTCCGAATCCAAACTTTAGTTATTACAATTATGATCAAATATTTTTTCCCCTAAATTTTCTTAACATTTCCCTCCAATAACTCCAAATGTATCCACTGTACTGCCTCCCTTCCTATGTCTTTTCTTGTTAATTTTTTTTTTTCATATTTTTAATATTTATCTAATTTATTCATTTTTTTGTTTAACACACAAAAAAACTGGTTGTCCAAAAATATTATTATTTATTCAATTTACAGTTATATTTTATATAGCTTGTCAATTTTTCTTTTGTCAAAAAAATATATAAAATTTTTTATTCATACCATTTTGTGCATTTTTATCGGAATGTATTTGTACTTGAAGTTTTGTATGCAAATTGCATTTATTGTTTTTTTTTTTTTGGTCTCTACTTTTGAAATAAAAGATTTTAAAGTTGATTGTTTTTAGAAAACTTTAATAATTCATAGTAAAATTTATGCATTTATTTTTTGGGGCCTATAAAGTTAATGTTTATTTTAAAATTCAGGGTTGTTTGTTATATCAAATCGTCTGTTATATGAAATCTACTAAATCGGTTTATATATAACACAAATCTGGCCCAAATGTTACGACTATCAAGTTTGTCTAACCGCATAGAAGTTTGAAATCAATTTACCGCTGACATGTATTCGATAATTATAGATCGGGTATGCTGTCCATATATTTGACGAAATTAACTTTTGAATATTTCAAATCCATTTGAGAGAACGCACTGAAGTCCGCACTAAAGGACGTGAAGTTCAGACTAGAATCCAGACTGTAGACTATAGATAAGCCTGTAGATCAGACTGTTGTTGGGAATGTAGATCAGATTATAGTTTGAACTATAGATAAGACTAAAATGAACTATAGTTCAGTATGTAGTCTGGAATAGTCCAAACTAAGGAACAGACTGTTTGTGACTAGCCCAGACTTCAGTTAGTTCAGAACGTTGTTTGAACTATAAACGAGGTTATACTCTGAACTAAAGTTTAAACTGTAATCTTGTCCATGGACCAGACTGTAGTCTAAACTATATATGAGATTATAATTTGATCTAACGACCAGACTACACACGACTAGACTATAGACTAGACTATTGACTAGACTATAGATTAGACTATAGACTAGACTATAGACTATACTAAAGACTAGACTATAGACTAGACTATAGACTAGACTATAGACTAAACTATAGGCTAGACTATAGACTAGACTATAGACTAGACTATAGACTAGCCTAAAGACTAGACTACAGACTGGACTATATACTAGACTATAGACTAGACTATAGACTAGACTATAGACTAGACTATAGACTAGACTATAGACTAGACTATAGACTAGACTATAGACTAGACTATAGACTAGACTATAGACTAGACTATAGACTAGACTATAGACTAGACTATAGACTAGACTATAGACTAGACTATAGACTAGACTATAGACTAGACTATAGACTAGACTATAGACTAGACTATAGACTAGACTATAGACTAGACTATAGACTAGACTATAGACTAGACTATAGACTAGACTATAGACTAGACTATAGACTAGACTATAGACTAGACTATAGACTAGACTATAGACTAGACTATAGACTAGACTATAGACTAGACTATAGACTAGACTATAGACTAGACTATAGACTAGACTATAGACTAGACTATAGACTAGACTATAGACTAGACTATAGACTAGACTATAGACTAGACTATAGACTAGACTATAGACTAGACTATAGACTAGACTATAGACTAGACTATAGATCAGACTATAGTATGAATTAGAGACCAGACCAAATTGAATTCTAAACTATAGATCAGACGGTAGTCTGGACTATAGAGTAGAATGTAGTCTGGACTATAGAACAGACGTTAGACTAGACTAAAGAGGCGCTGCTGTAGCCTCAACTATAAATATATTATAAACTGAACAAGATTTTTTATGCATTTCAACCCGTTGTGCGATTAGCTAGCATTCACACGACCAATTAAATGAAGTCAAAATGAATCCGCTTTAAAAGCAGTTTATTGACATTGTCAAAGCAGAAGTGTTTATGGTTAAATAATCAGTTCAAGGTCATTTCTATTTTTGGTTTAAGGAAAGTTTAAAACAAAAAAAAAATTTAATTAATTTAAAAAAAAAAAACTAACTGTTTAAATGAATCTAAAGTTTAAATATATAAAACAGGTACATGTTGCTAATTTTGAAATTATATTTTCTCTCTTTTTCTTACTAGTATTTAATAGGTCACCGATTTTTAAATGTTTAGTTTAATTTGCGATTAAAATGGAAATTAGTTAAAAAAAAGTTTAAACTTCCATTGATGTATAAAATTTTAATGGAGTTTTACTATGATTCAAGCTAACTGCTCTACTATATTTGAATTAATTTTGAATATTAATCTAAAATTATTTATATTTTTATTAATTTAAATTTATATTACACATTAAGCAAATAATTTAAATTCATTCATATCTATAACCAGAAACAGAAAATATTCCGCTTAACTAATCTTCTAAAATAAAATAACAAACTGAGTAATATTTTTAAAAAGTTCACGAAATTTCAAGTACATTTTTAAAACAGTTAGAAAACCTTTAATATTTTTAAAAATATCTACTTAAAACCACACTTAAAACCGGCTTAAAATTGCACTTAATTCATAAATATTCATTGCGCTAATTGCACAAAAAAATACTAAAATCCACAAGAAGCTGTTTTTAAAACATGAAATAAATAAAATCCTGAAATTGAAATAATGATTCTAAATCTAGTTTTAAAATACCCAGTAATTAGCCAACGGGAATTAACTAATATAAAATAATGAATAGTATAAAAGCTAAACAAATTTCAAAAAACAGTACAGTTTAATAAGCTTTTATTAACAAACAAAACAAAAATGTTCAAATTCGTAAGTTAAATAAAATTAAAATTAACAAAAAGTTCTCAAAACATTAAATAAAACATTTTCATTTAGTTCCTTATTGCCACCTTGATTGCCTACGCTGCTGCCGTTGGTGACGATGATGTTCACGCTGAGGCTACTCTCTTGAAATCCGATGTCAGACCCGATGGTTTCGATATTGCTTTGGAAACCACCAACCACATTCATCAAGTTGCCTCCGGTGACGAACATGGCAACATTCATGGTGACTTCGAATGGGTTTCTCCCGAAGGTGAACATGTTGCTGTCAAATATGTTGCCGATGAAAACGGTTACCAACCCAGCAGTGATTTGTTGCCTACTCCCCATCCCATCCCTGAGGCTATCTTGAAGGCTATTGAATACATCAAGGCCCATCCCTCTAAGGAAGAACCCCATCATTAGGTGGTTTATTCATGAGAACAAATTAAAACACTAAAAAGTTTTTAAACTGAAAATAAATTGCAATTGAAACGAAATCATTAAATCTTTTTTGTTGGTTTATTATTTATTAGTGGTAAAATTATAGATTTTAAATGAAGTCTTCAGGAATCAAATGTTTTGCCTCTTATTCGCATAGTTGCTAGATATAAAAGGATTGGAAGATTTTAACGATAGAACGCGATATCCAAAATTATAAATACATATATATTCTTAGACTGAACTGGAACTGAACTAGAACTGAACTAGAACGGAATTAGATCTAAACTAGAACAGAATTAGATGAACTAGAACTGAACTAGAACTGAACTAGAACTGAACTAGAACTGAACTAGAACTGAACTAGAACTGAACTAGAACTGAACTAGAACTGAACTAGAACTGAACTAGAACTGAACTAGAACTGAACTAGAACTGAACTAGAACTGAACTAGAACTGAACTAGAACTGAACTAGAACTGAACTAGAACTGAACTAGAACTGAACTAGAACTGAACTAGAACTGAACTAGAACTGAACTAGAACTGAACTAGAACTGAACTAGAACTGAACTAGAACTGAACTAGAACTGAACTAGAACTGAACTAGAACTGAACTAGAACTGAACTAGAACTGAACTAGAACTGAACTAGAACTGAACTAGAACTGAACTAGAACTGAACTAGAACTGAACTAGAACTAGAACTAGAACTAGAACTGAACTAGAACTGAACTAGAACTGAACTAGAACTGAACTAGAACTGAACTAGAACTGAACTAGAACTGAACTAGAACTGAACTAGAACTGAACTAGAACTGAACTGAACTAGAACTGAACTAGAACTGAACTAGAACTGAACTAGAACTGAACTAGAACTGAACTAGAACTGAACTAGAACTGAACTAGAACTAGAACTGAACTAGAACTGAACTAGAACTGAACTAGAACTGAACTAGAACTGAACTAGAACTGAACTAGAACTGAACTAGAACTGAACTAGAACTGAACTAGAACTGAACTAGAACTGAACTAGAACTGAACTAGAACTGAACTAGAACTGAACTAGAACTGAACTAGAACTGAACTAGAACTGAACTAGAACTGAACTAGAACTGAACTAGAACTGAACTAGAACTGAACTAGAACTGAACTAGAACTGAACTAGAACTGAACTAGAACTGAACTAGAACTGAACTAGAACTGAACTAGAACTGAACTAGAACTGAACTAGAACTGAACTAGAACTGAACTAGAACTGAACTAGAACTGAACTAGAACTGAACTAGAACTGAACTAGAACTGAACTAGAACTGAACTAGAACTGAACTAGAACTGAACTAGAACTGAACTAGAACTGAACTAGAACTGAACTAGAACTGAACTAGAACTGAACTAGAACTGAACTAGAACTGAACTAGAACTGAACTAGAACTGAACTAGAACTGAACTAGAACTGAACTAGAACTGAACTAGAACTAGAACTGAACTAGAACTGAACTAGAACTGAACTAGAACAGAATTAGAACTGAACTAGAACTGAACTAGAACTGAACTAGAGCTAAACTAGAACTAACTAGAACTGAACTAGAACTGAACTAGAACTGAACTAGAACTGAACTAGAACTGAACTAGAACTGAACTAGAACTGAACTAGAACTGAACTAGAACTGAACTAGAACTGAACTAGAACTGAACTAGAACTGAACTAGAACTGAATTAGAACTGAACTAGAACTGAATTAGAGCTGAACTAGAACAGAACTGAACTAGAACAGAACTGAACTAGAACTGAATTAGAACTGTACTAGAACAGAACTATAACTGAACTAGAATTGAACTATAACTGAACTAGAACTGAACTAGAACTGAATTATAACTGAACTAGAACAGAACTAGAACTGAACTAGAACTGAACTAGAACTGAACTAGAATTGAACTATAACTGAACTAGAACTGAACTAGAACTGAACTAGAACTGAACTAGAACTGAACTAGAACTGAACTAGAACTGAATTATAACTGAACTAGAACAGAACTAGAACTGAACTAGAACTGAACTAGAACTGAACTGAACTGGAACTGATCACTAAACCATATAGATCTTTGCAATGTTTACTATTTTCATAGGCAGTATTTGATGTGTATCCTTTTACTCTCAGAGATTGTCGATCTGTATTAGTGATCACTTATCAGTTAGTTAGCAATTCAGTATTCTCACCAATTCTAATAATAAAACTAAGCACAGGAGATCAATTGATTAATTTTTGACAAATAAGTAGATATGATTGTCAAGCAAACCATTTAGAATACTTTATGAAATTATCTTTATTGGCAGTTTAATCAAAGTTCTGTTCATTTTTTTCTCAACAAAAACTTAATGATGGTATTCTTCCTTAGGGGGGTGAGCATGAATGTATTCAATAGCCTTCAAGATGGCAGCAGGGATGGGATGGGGAGTGGGTAAAACATCACTAATGGGTTGGTAACCATTTTCATCGGCAACATATTTGACAGCAACATGTTCACCTTCGGGAGAAACCCATTCGAAATCACCGTGGATGTTGCCATGTTCATCACCGGAGGCAACTTGATGGATGTGGTTGGTGGTTTCCAAAGCAGAATCGAAACCATCAGCTCTAACATCAGATTTCAAGAGAGTAGCTTCGGCGTGTTCATCCTCTGGATTGCCAGCGGCAGCGCAGGCAATCAAGGCAGCAAGAAGGAACTGTAGAAAAATATAATTATTTAAAATGTCTTACTTAGGAAACGGAATTTATTTGTCGAACTTACGTATTTGAACATTTTTGTTATTTAAGGTTTATTAGAAGTTGTTAAACTGTATTTATTTTCGAATTTCTTTACGTTTTTATACTTTTTTTCAATTTTATTTATTATATCTTAATATTGAAGAGTGTTAAAACTAGATTATTTTCTTATATTTATAGAAGTGTTGCATAAAATCCAGAATTTATTATGGGATTAAGTTTATGTTCTGAAACAATTAAGTTAAATCCGGTTTTTGTCTTTTATTTAATTATAGTTTGCATTGGTTTGATCTCTTTTATATTCAAAAAAATTCACATGCATTTTCAAACAAAAATTTAAATAAATACTATAAGTGGGTGGTGAACCAACAGGAGATAGAGATTTTTAACTCTTTAGATTTTTATGAAAAATCATACAATTACGATTAGACGAAACATTTTTAAAATGTCAAAGAACTTTAAACTAAACCTGTCAGAAACATAGACCAGAGTTGATCTAATTTTGAACAATAAATAAGAAAAGTTGACAAAACTTGATTAAATTATTATTTTATGGTTATTACTGATGATTAAATCCCGAACAAAAATCTGGATTCTATATAGTGAATATTCTAGTTTTCAAACTCTCCCATTTAAAATAAGCGGAATTTTAGAAAAAGGTATAAAAACGAAAAGTGATTCTAAAATTAATACAGTTAACCAAGTTTTAATAAACCTAAAATAACCAAAAAATGTTCAAATACGTAAGTTTAAAACATGAAATCCAAATGTTAAACAAAAGTAAAGTCTCTTAATCTAATAGTTCCTTCTTGCTGCCTTGATCGCCTGCGCTGCTGCTGGTAATCCTGAAGATGAGCATGCCGAAGCTACTCTCTTGAAATCCGATGTTAGAGCTGATGGTTTCGATTCTGCTTTGGAAACCACCAACCATATCCATCAGGTAGCCTCCGGTGATGAACATGGCAACATCCACGGTGATTTCGAATGGGTTTCTCCCGAAGGTGAACATGTTGCTGTTAAATATGTTGCCGATGAAAACGGTTACCAACCCATTAGTGATGTCTTGCCCACTCCTCACCCCATTCCTGCCGCCATCTTGAAGGCTATTGAATACATCCATGCTCATCCCCAGAAGGAAGAATACCATCATTAAAATTTAATTGAATACAAAACGTTGGTTAAACTGACAATAAAAAAGCACTAGATAGAAAAATCTAAAAGATTGTTAATAATTTTTTTATATATAAGGACTAAAGGAAAATTTAGTAAAGAAATTTTCTCTTATAAAAAATTTCAACATTTTTTTTTATAGAAAATTTTCGAAATTTTCTCTTTTTTTATATAAAATTTTCGAAAAAAAATTTTTTTTAGAAAATTTTCGAAATTTTCTCTTTCTTATAGAAAATTTTCGAAATTTTCTCTTTCTTATAGAAAATTTTCGAAATTTTCTCTTTCTTATAGAAAATTTTCGAAATTTTCTCTTTCTTATAGAAAATTTTCGAAATTTTCTCTTTCTTATAGAAAATTTTCGAAATTTTCTCTTTCTTATAGAAAATTTTCGAAATTTTCTCTTTCTTATAGAAAATTTTCGAAATTTTCTCTTTCTTATAGAAAATTTTCGAAATTTTCTCTTTTCTATAGAAAATTTTAGAAATTGTCTCTTTTTTTCGAAAATTTTCGAAATTTTTTTCTTTTTTATAAAAACTTTTTAAAATTTTTTCTTTTTGATTGAAAATTTTTGTAAATTTCTCTTTTTTATAGGAAATTTTCGAAATTGAAAACTTTAAATTTATTTCGGTGCAATTTATTGGCAGTCTTGGCTATAGTCTCGTCTGTAGTCTAAACTATAGTTTCCTTTATAGTCTGGTATATACTTTCGTTTATAGGCTATAGATCCGTCTATATTCTAAACTATAGTCTCGTTTATACTGTCGACATAGCCATACCATCTATAATATGGTCTAAAGTGTTCACTATTGTCTCGTCCATAGTCTTATCAATAGCTTCCCCAAAATGTTATCAGTTGACTCGAATATAGTCTATGATTTGTCTATGATATAATCTCATCTATAGTTTCGACTAAAGTCTATTCTATAGTCTCTTCTATAGCCTTTAGTTTTGACTGTAGTCTCGTCAGTAGTCCCATCTATAGTCTCTTCAATAGTCTCCAACATAATCTCATTAATTGTCTTGACTCTAGTCCCGTCTATAGACTCGACTATATTGTATACTTTAGGCTTTAGTTTCGGTTACAAAGTCGTCTATAGTCTCGACTATGATCTCGTTTACTCTATAGTCTCATCTATTGTCTTGACTACAGTGTATTGTTTAGTTTAGACTATATTCTATTTTATAATCAACTTTAGGGTCTGGACTATAGTATATACTATAGTCTCGACTATGGTCTTATCCACAGTCTGTTCATGAATATACTCATCTTTATACTCTCGACTAAATATCTAGTCTATTGAAGTCCCACCTAAGGTCTGTAATATAGCCATAATCCAGTTCGGAATTAAAAACTCTTGTCAACTTATTTTCTGTGCAATTTATTGGCTGTTGGAAGCAAATGTTAGAACTAAAACTTTTAATTTAATGATGTTCTTCCTTTGAGGGATGAGCTTCATTATAAGCAATAGACTTCAAGATGGCCTCAGGAATTGGATGTGGTGTTGGAATAACATCACCCAGAGGTTGATAGCCATTTTCATTAGCAACATATTCAATCTTAATGTGTTCACCCTCAGGTGAATCCCATTCAAAATCACCATGAATATTGCCATGTTCATCACCGGAAGAAGCTTGATGAATATGATTGCTGATATCTAAACCGCTATCAAAACCATCAGCTCTTATTTCCGATCTCATGTTAAGAACTTCGGCATGAGCATCATCACTAGCAGCGGCGGTAAAGGCAATCAAAGCAGCAATAAGGATCTGGTAAGTAATAATTTTGATATTTTTTTATTAAAAATTGTTCAAGAACTTACTAATTTATACATTTTTGTGTAATGTGCTAATTGGAAATTGTTTAAGAGTATTTATACACAATAATTTTGAGATGAATATTATTTTATATTTATAATTATTAAAAACAATGTTTAATGGATTTGCATATAACGGCAAATAAAAATTTAAGATTCAAAAATTATAAACATTTCTGTTTTGCCGAATTTAGCGCTGTTACCTGTTTTTATATAAAACAACCGATTCTGTTAGAAATTGATTGATTGAATTGATCACATATTCTTATTTCTGTTTTCGAGGTGAAATATTACCAGATTTTTGAACATTTTGTTCTTAACATCTAATAGTCATTAAATGTTTTTATACAATCACGATCACGTTTTGATATCAGGATCATACGGTTAGTTAGTCATTAGATAGATGTGGTAGTACCATAGTCCTCTCGTGCGTAATTTTTTACTGATCTGTAAAATTGCTCGTGCATTTGCAGAAATTGTTAGATCAGTTAGTAATTTACTAATTTATAATTCCAACAAAATTAGTGATAAATATTTGACGAAAAGACATGATTCTCAATCTTAGTCATTCTTCCCATATTACATTCTTCGAACTAAAGATTGATCTAGTTATCAAAAAAAAAACAAAAAACAGAACATTTAAATTCCTTTATGAAATTATCTTTATTGGCAGTTTAAGCAAAGTTTTGTTCATCTTAGTTTTAAGCAAAACTTAATGATGGTATTCTTCCTTTGGGGGATGAGCATGGATGTATTCAATAGCCTTCAAGATGGCAGCAGGAATGGGATGAGGAGTGGGCAAAACATCACTGATGGGTTGATAACCATTTTCATCGGCAACATATTTAACAGCAACATGTTCACCTTCGGGAGAAACCCATTCAAAATCACCATGAATATTGCCATGTTCATCACCGGAGGCAACTTGATGGATGTGGTTGGTGGTCTCTAAAGCAGAATCAAAACCATCAGCTCTAACATCGGATTTCAAGAGAGTGGCTTCGGCATGCTCATCCTCAGGATTGCCAGCAGCAGCACAGGCGATCAAGGCAGCAAGAAGGAACTGTAGAGAAATATAATTGAGATTTAAGATTTTTTTACTTAGGAAAGGGATTTTATCTGTCGAACTTACGTATTTGAACATTTTTGTTATTAAAGGTTTATTGCAAGTTGTTAAACTGTATCTCTTTTAGAAATTCTTTTCGTTTTTATATCATTTCATTGTTTATTCTTTTAAAACTTATTAAAACTAGATTATTAGTTTTATATAACTTGTGACTTTTTTTTTTTTTTGCACTAAAATCCAGATTTTTCGGGAATATGAGTTTGTGTTATATTTAAAAGTGTACTAAGTATAACAAGTTTGTTTAAAAGTTGAAATTATTTCATAATTTATTGTTTGCATTTATTAGATTAATTTTATGTTTATGATCGTGATGCATTTTTTCTGCCGGTTTTGTTTTTTATATAAATTTTAGTTTCTTTAGTATGAAAGTGTAAAGAAGAATTTCTTCGTTATTCGAAAATGTTTGAACACAAAATGTTTGCAGTTAGCCGGTTTGTTTAATGTTACGACCCGACTATAGTCACGTCTGTAGACTCGACTATAGTCTAGATTATAGTTTCGTCTATAGACCCGATTATAGTCTCGTGTCGTCAATAGTCTAGACTGTAGATGAGACTATAGTCTAGTCTATATAGATGAGACTATAGTCTAGTCTATATAGATGAGACTATAGTCTAGTCTATATAGATGAGACTATAGTCTAGATTACAGTCTCTTCTGTAGCCTAGACTATACTCTCGTCTATAGCCTATAGTCTAGACTATAGACGAGACTATAAATGAGACTATAGCCTAGACTATACTCTATAGTCTTGATTAAATATGTAGTCTAAACTATTGTCTCTTTTATAATCTGGTATATACTCTCGTTTATAGGCTATAGATCCATCAAAAGCCTAGACTATAGTCTCATTTATACTTTCGACATAGTCTCGTCTACATTACCATCCATAATATGGTCTAAAGTATCCACTATTGTCTGGTCTATAGTCTTATCAATAGCTTCCCCAAAATCTTATCAATTGACTCGACTATAGCCTATGGTATCGACTTTAGCGTATAGTCCAGTTATTTGTCAATGATATAATCTCTTCTATAGTTTCGACTATAGTCTACTCTATAGTCTCTTCTATAGCCTTTAGTTTTGACTGTAGTCTCGTCAGTAGTCCTATCTATAGTCTCATTAATAGTCTACAACATAATCTCATCAAATGGCTTGACTCTAGTCCCTTCTATAAACACGACTATATCGTATACTCTAGACTTTAGTTTCGGTTACAAAGTCGTCTATAGTCTCGACTATGATCTCGTCCACTTTATAGTCTCGTCTATTGTCTTGAATACAGTGTATTCTTTAGACTATATTCTATGATATAATCAAATTTCGGGTCAGGACTATAGTATATCCACAGTCTATTCATATCTTCATACTCTCAACTAAATATCTAGTCTATTAAAATCCCAACTATAGTCTGCATTATGGCCAAAATCCAGTTCCTAATTAAAAACTCTACTCAACTTATTTTCTGTGCAATTTATTGGCAGTTTGAAGCAAATGTTAGAATTTCATATAAAACTCTAAAAAACTAACACTTTTAATTTAATGATGTTCTTCCTTTGAGGGATGAGCTTCATTATAAGCAATAGCCTTTAAGATGGCTTCAGGAATGGGATGAGGAGTTGGTACAACATCACCAACAGGTTGATAACCATTTTCATCGGCAACATAAGAAACCTTAATGTGTTCACCTTCAGGTGAAACCCATTCGAAGTCACCATGAATGTTGCCATGTTCATCACCGGAAGCAGCTTGATGGATATGATTGCTGGTATCCAAAACGCTATCAAAACCATCAGCTCTGACATCTGACTTCATGTTAGTGACTTCAGCATGAGCATCATCGCTATCAGCGGCAGCGAAGGCAATCAAAGCAGCAATAAGGATCTAAGAAAAAAATGTTTTATTAACATTTTTGTTTTATTTTAAAATAATTTTTAAAGAACTTACGAATTTATACATGTTGTTTTGTTTTTGTTTAATATGTTTACAATAAAGTTGTTAAACTGTGCTAATTGCAAATTGTTTAAGAGTATTTATACACAATTTTTTTTATTAAGATTATTATTTAGCATTTTTAATTATTAAAAACAATTAAAATAAAAATAAAAATGTTTAATTGTTTGTTTGCCTCTGATTTGCATATAACGGCAAGTTAGAATTTTTAATTTAACAAAAAAAAAAAAATATAAACAATTTTGCAAAAATATTATTGAAATCAAATATTTGCCATAATCTTTCTATTAAAAATAATTTTCCATTAAGATTGTTTTTCATGAAAAAAAGATTCTTTATTTTTTATAATATTTTTCTTTATATTTAAATTTTGTTTTTGTAATCTTAAGGATTCATTCAACTTCAGGTTGCAATTAACCGGCTTAATTTGCAAACATGTCTATTAAATTTTGGTTAAGATCGTAAACAATTTTATTTTTTTAACATTCTAATAATTTCAAAAGAAAGTAAAAAAAAAAATCTTCTAATAATTTTATGAACAAATTATAAACAAACAAATAAAAAAAAATAAACCTTTTTTTAAATGAATTTTAATTGATTTCACAAACTTGCAATGCAAAATAATTATCAACAAATTGTGTATAAATAATCAAAAATATTTTGCAATTAACACAGTTTAAAGAAGTCTATTCTAAAGAACTTAATCAAAAAACAAACAAAATGTATAAATACGTAAGTTGCTAAATAAATAAAAAATCCTTATAAAAAAAGGCTACAAAATATCCTTTAAATTCCTGCAGATCCTCATTGCTGCTTTGATTGCCTTCGCCGCCGCTGATAGCGATGATGCTCATGCTGAGGTCACTAACATGAAGTCGGATGTTAGAGCTGATGGTTTTGATAGCGTTTTGGATACCAGCAATCATATCCATCAAGCTGCTTCCGGTGATGAACATGGCAACATTCATGGTGACTTCGAATGGGTTTCCCCTGAAGGTGAACACATTAAGGTTTCTTATGTTGCCGATGAAAATGGTTATCAACCTGTTGGTGATGTTGTACCAACTCCTCATCCCATTCCTGAAGCCATCTTGAAGGCTATTGCCTATAATGAAGCTCATCCCTCAAAGGAAGAACATCATTAAATTAAAAGTGTTAGTTTTTAGTATTTTTTTTTTATAAAATTCTAACATTTGCTTCAAACTGCCAATAAATTGCACATAAAAATAATTCGTAGTGTTTTAAAATTGGGAATATACTAAAGTCCGAAGTATTTTTTATCCTAAATACTTATACAATAACAGATATTATAGAGTTGACTATAATTCGGGTTAAAAAAGTTAAGTATAATCGGGAATATGATGACTAGACGTGGATATAGACGAGACTAACGGTGAGAGTTTAAACGACAATATATCGAGACTATAGACAAGACTATAGACCAGACTATAGAGTAAACTGTAGCCTAGACTATAGAGTAGACTATAGAATAGACTATAGACTAGACTACAGACTAGACTATAGTGTAGACTATACTAGACTATAGACTAGACTATAGACTAGACTATAGACTAGACTATAGAGACTATAGACTACTAGACTAGACTAGACTATAGACTAGACTATAGACTAGACTATAGACTAGACTATAGACTAGACTATAGACTAGACTATAGACTAGACTATAGACTAGACTATAGACTAGACTATAGACTAGACTATAGACTAGACTATAGACTAGACTATAGACTAGACTATAGACTAGACTATAGACTAGACTATAGACTAGACTATAGACTAGACTATAGACTAGACTATAGACTAGACTATAGACTAGACTATAGACTAGACTATAGACTAGACTATAGACTAGACTATAGACTAGACTATAGACTAGACTATAGACTAGACTATAGACTAGACTATAGACTAGACTATAGACTAGACTATAGACTAGACTATAGACTAGACTATAGACTAGACTATAGACTAGACTATAGACTAGACTATAGACTAGACTATAGACTAGACTATAGACTAGACTATAGACTAGACTATAGACTAGACTATAGACTAGACTATAGACTAGACTATAGACTAGACTATAGACTAGACTATAGACTAGACTATAGACTAGACTATAGACTAGACTATAGACTAGACTATAGACTAGACTATAGACTAGACTATAGACTAGACTATAGACTAGACTATAGACTAGACTATAGACTAGACTATAGACTAGACTATAGACTAGACTATAGACTAGACTATAGACTAGACTATAGACTAGACTATAGACTAGACTATAGACTAGACTATAGACTAGACTATAGACTAGACTATAGACTAGACTATAGACTAGACTATAGACTAGACTAGACTAGACTAGACTAGACTAGACTATAGACTAGACTATAGACTAGACTATAGACTAGACTATAGACTAGACTATAGACTAGACTATAGACTAGACTATAGACTAGACTATAGACTAGACTATAGACTAGACTATAGACTAGACTAGACTATAGACTAGACTAGACTATAGACTAGACTAGACTATAGACTAGACTATAGACTAGACTAGACTATAGACTAGACTATAGACTAGACTATTGACTAGACTAGACTATAGACTAGACTAGACTATAGACTAGACTATAGACTAGACTAGACTAGACTAGACTAGACTAGACTATACTAGACTAGACTAGACTAGACTAGACTAGACTAGACTAGACTAGACTAGACTAGACTAGACTAGACTAGACTAGACTAGACTAGACTAGACTAGACTAGACTGGACTAGACTATAGACTAGACTAGACTATAGACTAGACTAGACTATAGACTATAGACTAGACTATCTAGACTATAGACTAGACTATAGACTAAACTATAGACTAGACTATAGACTAGACTATAGACTAGACTATAGACTAGACTATAGACTAGACTACAGACTAGACTATAGACTAGACTATAGACTAGACTATAGACTAGACTATAGACTAGACTATAGACTAGACTATAGACTAGACTATAGACTAGACTATAGACTAGACTATAGACTAGACTATAGACTAGACTATAGACTAGACTATAGACTAGACTATAGACTAGACTATAGACTAGACTATAGACTAGACTATAGACTAGACTATAGACTAGACTATAGACTAGACTATAGACTAGACTATACTAGACATATACTAGACTATAGACTAGACTATAGACTAGACTATAGACTAGACTATAGACTAGACTATAGACTAGACTATAGACTAGACTATAGACTAGACTATAGACTAGACTATAGACTAGATTATAGACTAGACTATAGACTAGACTATAGACTAGACTATAGACTAGACTATAGACTAGACTATAGACTTGACTGTAGACTAGACTATGGACTAGACTATAGACTAGACTATAGACTAGACTATAGACTAGACTACAGACTAGACTATAGACTAGACTATAGACTAGACTATAGACTAGACTATAGACTAGACTATAGACTAGACTATAGACTAGACTATAGACTAGACAATAGACTAGAATATAGACTAGACTATAGTCTATGCTAAAGACTAGACTATAGACTAGACTTTAGACTAGATTGTAGACTAGACTGTAGACTAGACTGTAGACTAGACTATGGACTAGTCTATAGATCTGATTACATCTTATAATTATTTTGATTTTTGTAATACCACCGTAATACTATAACACCTAAAAGGTAACCGTTAAATATTCAAACATCATTGAAAACCGGTTACTATTTATTTAGTTGTTTTATTTAAAATCATGATAACAATTATGACGTTTTTCATTTTAATCCCGAATTTATGTGTGGGCTTTTTAAGCTTATATTTATTTAGATTGCCCTTTGTTTTTTTTATAAATCAATTTAAAATCCAGTTTATTTAAATAACAATTTTGACATGATTTAAATAAGCAGCAATATTTCATATGACAGATTTAATTTAAAATCTTAATTTATTTTATATGATTAGAGCTAGACAATAAAAATAAATAAACAGAAATATATAGGTGTGAATATTTATTCCATTAAAGACAAAATTCGGGGAAATTGATTTTTCTTTATAATTGAAAATTCTCCACAAATGTTTCATAAAAGAATAAACTCTTAAATATTTTCTTTTTAATAATTTTTTTATTAAATATCACTAATTTTCTCAAAATTTTCACTAAAGAAAATATAGAAAACTAAATATTTTCTAAATAAGAAGAAATCCTCTTATTTAAAATCTGCCATGATGTTCTTCGTGAGCAGGATGAGAGCGAATGTATTCCAAAGATTTCAAGATAGCTTCTGGGATGGGGTGGGGAGTGGGCAAAACGTCACTGCTTGGTTGATAACCATATTCATCAGCAACATATTTAACAGCAATATGTTCACCTTCAGGAGAAACCCATTCAAAATCACCACGCATATTGCCGTGTTCATCACCACTGGCGACAGCCTTAATATGGTTGGTGGTCTCGTAAGCATAATGGAAACCATCGGGAAGTACTTCAGAATCTAAAGATTTAATTTCAGCATGAGCATCTTCGCCAGAGCCATGAGAGACGGAGTGACCACCGAAGCCATGGTGTTGAGCAGAAGCGAGAGCTACAAAGGCCAAGACAACGACCTGAAGCCAGAATAAAAGGAAATAATTAGTAAACGATCCGAAATTCTCCATGGATTCGTTTGTTTTTGTCTTTGCTCAACTTACAAATTTAAACATGTTGATTTTAGTTGTTTTATCCAGAACTGACTGATACCTTTCTCTCTGCAGTTCTTTAGTTTATATAGAATTTTTTTGCAGTTAAACTATTGTTGAAATTTTATTGACTGATTTGCAGTTTGACATTTAGTTTATCCCCTATAATAATATTTATATCATTAAAATATTTGCTTATTAACCCATTCAGGGGGGGAAGATTTATAATTGGAATTTTGAATCAAAAGTTTTGACAGTAGAAAGTGGTATTATAAAACGAACTTTAACTCTTGCGTAAGGGAGAGCGTAAGCACTGCATATGCTCTCTATTTGCTGGAGAACTTATTTCACAGCTTACCAGTCCTATGAAAAAGAATGATTTGCGTTTTTGAATTTGTTTTCTATTAACAAATACTTAAAAATTTTAAAAATTCTTTTGTTTTCGATATCTTCTATTATAATACTTCCTCTATCAATTGTTTATTAATTTTAGCGGATTAATTCTAATAATTTAATGTTCAAATAAATGTTTTGATTTTATCCTCTTAAATTAAACCTCAAATGCATAGAAACAACATAATTAATTGTTTAAATTTATTTAGTATTTTTCTATGCTATTATGATTTCACTAATCTGATAAAGTTATAAAACTGGTCTAAAAAAATAAACTAAACAAAAAAAATGTGAAACTAAGAGAGTTCTACAACATGTCCAGTTGTTCGGAAACAATTCTTTAAAAAAAATATATGAGATTGATAAATGTCAACTAATAAGATTTAAAATATTTATGATTTAATTGTGGCAATTAGTGAGAAATTAAAAACTAATAATTTGAATATAAAGTTTACTAAAATCACACGAGCATTTAAAAAATTTGCTTAAACAGTTGTTGAAATATGTTAAAACTTCCATTCTGGTTTTTCTTAGGAAAATAATGAAGCAAATAAATGTCTAAATGAGCCGTCCAATCAAAATCGGTGACCGACAGTCGAAAAGATCAGGGTCCCAATAAACAAAACCGTTTAAATTTTAGTTTAGTTATTTAAGTATTTAGTCAGTCAGTCAGTCAGTTAGTTAGTTAGTTAGTTAGTTAGTTAGTTAGTTAGTTAGTTAGTTAGTAGTTAATAGTAGTTAGTTAGTTAGTTAGTAGTTAGTTAGTTAGTTAGTTAGTTAGTTAGTTATTAGTAGTAGTTAGTAGTAGTTAGTTAGTTAGTTAGTTAGTTAGTTAGTTAGTTAGTTATAGTTAGTTAGTTAGTAGTTAGTTAGTTAGTTAGTTAGTTAGTTAGTTAGTTAGTAGTTAGTTAGTTTAGTTAGTCGTTAGTTAGTTAGTAGTTAGTTCGTTAGTTAGTTAGTTAAGTTAGTTAGTTAGTTAGTTAGTTAGTTAGTGTAGTTAGTTCGTTATTTTCGTTAGTTCGTAGTTCGTTCGTTCGTCGTTCGTTCGTTCGTTCGTTCTTCGTTAGTTCGTTCGTTAGTTGTTCGTTAGTTTCGTTAGTTAGTTGTTAGTTCGTTAGTTCGTTCGTTCTTAGTTCGTTTCGTTCGTTAGTTCGTTCGTTCGTTCGTTCGTTGTTCGTTACGTTCGTTCGTTCGTTCGTTGTTAGTTATTAGTTAGTTAGTTACGTTAGTTAGTTAGTTAGTTCGTTAGTTAGTTAGTTAGTTAGTTAGTTAGTTAGTTAGACTATAGACTAGACTATAGACTAGACTATAGACTAGACTATAGACTAGACTATAGACTAGACTGTAGACTAGACTATAGACTAGACTATAGACTAGACTATAGACTAGACTATAGACTAGACTATAGACTAGACTATAGACTAGACTATAGACTAGACTAGACTATAGACTAGACTATAGACTAGAATATAGACTACTATAGACTAGACTATAGACTAGGCTATAGACTAGACTATAGACTAGACTATAGACTAGACTACAGACTAGACCATAGACTAGACTATAGACTAGCTATAGACTAGACTATAGACTAGACCATAGACTAGACTATAGACTAGACTATCGACTAGACCATAGACTAGACTATAGACTAGACCATAGACTAGACTATAGACTAGGCTATAGACTAGACTATAGACTAGACCATAGACTAGACTATAGACTAGACTATAGACTTGACTATAGACTAGACTATAGACTAGACCATAGACTAGACTAAGACTAGACTATAGACTAGACTATAGACTAGACTATAGACTAGACTATAGACTAGACTATAGACTAGACTATAGACTAGACTATAGACTAGACTATAGACTAGACTATAGACTAGACTATAGACTAAGACTATAGACTAGAGATAGACTAGACTATAGACTAGACTAGAGACTAGACTATAGACTAGACTATAGACTAGACTAATAGACTAGACTATAGACTAGACTATAGACTAGACTATAGACTAGACTATAGACTAGACTATAGACTAGACTAGACAGACTATAGACTAGACTATAGACTAGACTATAGACTAGACTATAGACTAGACTATAGACTACACTATAGACTAGACTATAGACTAGACTATAGACTAGACTATAGACTAGACTATAGACTAGACTATAGACTAGACTATAGACTAGACTATAGACTAGACTATAGACTAGACTATAGACTAGACTATAGACTAGACTATAGACTAGACTATAGACTAGACTATAAACTAAGCTATGGACTATACTGTATACTACACTTTAAGCTAGCTTATAGAGTGGACTATAGACCAGAATATAGGCTATAGACTAGTTTAGTCTTACTTTTTGTTATTTACAAATGAAAATAATCTTTTATTTTTTATTTTTTAAACAAAACACTTATTTATTTGTTTGTTTTCAATAAAAACTTAACAAAACTAAAATTCTTAGAATCTACGACCATGACCGTGGTGGACGACTTCCTCTTTGGGTGGGTGGGTGCGAATGTATTCCAAAGATTTTAAGATAGCTTCTGGAATGGGGTGGGGAGTGGGCAAAACATCACTGTTGGGTTGGTAACCGTTTTCATCGGCAACATAGCTAAGAGCAATGTGTTCACCTTCAGGAGAGATCCATTGGAAGTCACCGCGAACATTACCGTTAGCATCACCGCTAGACTTGGCACTGATGCCATTAGTAGTTTCCAAGTGGTATTCGAAACCTTCGGGGTGGACATCAGAAGCAGCGGAGATGATTTCAGCATGAACATCATCACTGGAGGCGGAAACTGATTTGGTGGCAGCACGGTTGTTAGCAAAGCCACGAGGTTGATTGTGTCCATGGCCATGACGTTGAGCAGTGGCGGCGGTAGCCAACAAGGCGCAGATAACGACCTGTGAAAAAGAACATAAGGATAATTAAGTGATTGTGGTTAAATTTCAATTTTCATTTTCAAAACTTACAAATTTGAACATTTTTGTTTTATTTGTTGGTGTGTTTTGTTTAATGATCTAAAATTAACTGATGTCTTTTCTTATGTTTTCTTCAGTTTATATATGATTTTTATTTGTATATCTTTAAATCATAAAGTATTTTATTGTATCTTAACATTTATGGTGTCTTATAGTTTTTTACACATCTATTTTGTTTAAAAACAATAAATATTAATGTTGTAGTTTAGTATTTGTTATTATATTTTTTGCATCTTTTTTTTTGAATATTATTTAATATCTTTGTAAGCTGTATATGGACGTCAGTCACACTTTTAATGATTTGTCTGCATAAATTAAATGTTGAACTGAGTTGTTGAAAAGAAATCTCCATAATCAAAATCAAAGAGTTAAGATTTATGTGACAGTTTTGTCTATTGTCATTTGCTGACGCACATCGGACTACTGTGCAGAACAATGCCAATTGAAATTTAGAAGCAGCTTAGAATTATTTCTATTCTTGCTTACAAAGGCAAAGATGTTAGATTATTACTAAAAACATAAACAAGATTATAGAACTCTAGATCAGACTATAGACTAAACTGTAGACTAGACTATATACTAGACTAAACTATAGACTAGACTATATACTAGACTATAGACTAGACTATATACTAGACTATAGACTAGACTATAGACTAGACTATAGACTAGACTATAGACCAGACTATAGACTAGACTATAGACTAGACTATAGACTAGACTATAGACTAGACTGTAGACTAGACTATAGACTAGACTATAGACTAGAGTATAGACTAGACTATAGACTAGACTATAGACTAAACTATAGACTAGACTATAGACTAGACTATAGACTAGACTATAGACTAGACTATGGACTAGACTATAGACTAGACTATAGACTAGACTAGACTAGACTATAGACTAGACTATAGACTAGACTATAGACTAGACTATAGACTAGACTATAGACTAGACTATAGACTAGACTATAGACTAGACTATAGACTAGACTATAGACTAGACTATAGACTAGACTATACTAGACTATAGACTAGACTATAGACTAGACTATAGACTAGACTATAGACTAGACTATAGACTAGACTATAGACTAGACTATAGACTAGACTATAGACTAGACTATAGACTAGACTATAGACTAGACTATAGACTAGACTATAGACTAGACTATAGACTAGACTATAGACTAGACTATAGACTAGACTATAGACTAGACTATAGACTAGACTATAGACTAGACTATAGACTAGACTATAGACTAGACTATAGACTAGACTGTAGACTAGACTATAGACTAGACTATGGACTAGACTATAGACTAGACTATAGACTAGACTATAGACTAGACTATAGACTAGACTATAGACTAGACTATAGACTAGACTATAGACTAGACTATAGACTAGACTATAGACTAGACTATAGACTAGACTATAGACTAGACTATAGACTAGACTATAGACTAGACTATAGACTAGACATAGACTAGACTATAGACTAGACTATAGACTAGACTATAGACTAGACTATAGACTAGACTATAGACTAGACTATAGACTAGACTATAGACTAGACTATAGACTAGACTATAGACTAGACTATAGACTAGACTATAGACTAGACTATAGACTAGACTATAGACTAGACTATAGACTAGACTATAGACTAGACTATAGACTAGACTATAGACTAGACTATAGACTAGCCATAGACTAGACTATAACTAGACTATAGACTAGACTATAGACTAGACTATAGACTAGACTATAGACTAGACTATAGACTAGACTATAGACTAGACTATAGACTAGACTATAGACTAGACTAAGACTAGACTATAGACTAGACTATAGACTAGACTATAGACTAGACTATAGACTAGACTATAGACTAGACTATGACTAGACTATAGACTAGACTATAGACTAGACTATAGACTAGACTATAGACTAGACTATAGACTAGACTATAGACTAGACTATAGACTAGACTATAGACTAGACTATAGACTAGACTATAGACTAGACTATAGACTAGACTATAGACTAGACTATAGACTAGACTATAGACTAGACTATAGACTAGACTATAGACTAGACTATAGACTAGACTATAGACTAGACTATAGACTAGACTATAGACTAGACTATAGACTAGACTATAGACTAGACTATAGACTAGACTATAGACTAGACTATAGACTAGACTATAGACTCGACTATAGACTAGACTATAGACTAGACTATAGACTAGACTATAGACTAGACTATAGACTAGACTATAGACTAGACTATAGACTAGACTATAGACTAGACTATAGACTCGACTATAGACTAGTCTATAGACTAGACTATAGACTAGACTATAGACTCGACTATAGACTAGACTATAGACTAGACTATAGACTAGATTATAGACTAGACTATAGACTAGACTATAGACTAGACTATAGACTAGACTATAGACTAGACTATAGACTAGACTATAGACTAGACTATAGACTAGACTATAGACTAGACTATAGACTAGACTATAACTAGACTATAGACTAGACGATAGACTAGACTATAGACTAGACTATAGACTAGACTATAGACTAGACATAGACTAGACTATAACTAGACTATAGACTAGACTATAGATTAGACTATAGACTAGACTATAGACGAGACTATACTATATACGATACTATATACGATACTATATACGATACTATAGACTAAAGGACTAGACATTAGAATAGACTATAAAGTAGACTGAAGACTGGACTATATACTAAGCTATAGTCTGGATGATAGACTAGACTATAGGCCAAACTACAAGCCAGACTACAGATTAGACTACAGACTATACTGTTGGCTAGACTATAGACTAGACTATAGGCTAGGTTATAGTCTGGACTATTGACTTGACTATTGTCAAGCATTTGCTCTTAGTTAAAACTTTTTTGTCTTGTTTAATAATAGAAAATCGGTTAGGATAATAATAATAGGTATCTTCTGAAACCAATGGAGTACAAAGCGAAAATTTGTGTGAATAATTTGGTCCTTTTTCCGGGCATTCATGTTACCCTTTCGGAGAAAAGAGAACCTTTTGCGAACAGGGATAATTTGATGAAAACATGTTGATAGTAGGTACGTTTCACATTTTTTAGTGAATATGGTTCCTATCTCTCCTCCTGATGTTAACAACAAATGGTAACTTTATTGAAATATTAAGAACAATTTTGGATATTTAAATTTTGTTACTTTCAGTGGATCATTATCGAAAAAGGGGGACGAAAAATATTTAACATACTAAATATATTAGTAAGTATCAAATGAGTTCAGATTAGTTAGTAAGTTGGAGATAAAGCACTCTTTAGTCCTTGGGGTAACATACAAGTGGAAATGTATGTATTTAACTAAAGTTGTGAATAAAATTCAAATTTAATTTAATTATTTTTAATATTAAAAAATAATTTTATATTTTATTAAAACAAAACTTAACAATACTAATATTCTTAGAATCTACGACCATGACCGTGGTGGACGGCTTCCTCCTTGGGTGGATGGGTGCGAATGTATTCCAAAGATCTCAAGATGGCTTCTGGGATGGGGTGGGGAGTAGGCAAAACATCACTGTTGGGTTGGTAACCGTTTTCATCGGCAACATAGCTAACAGCAACGTGTTCACCTTCAGGAGAGATCCATTGGAATTCACCGCGGACATTACCGTAAGCATCACCGCTAGACTTGGCACTGATGCCATTGGTAGTTTCCAAATGGTATTCGAAACCTTCGGGGTGGACATCAGAGGCAGCGGAAATAATTTCAGCATGAACATCATCACTGGAGGCAGAAACAGATTTGGTGGCAGCACGGTTGTTGGCAAAGCCACGAGATTGACCGTGATGACCGCCATGACGTTGAGCTGTGGCGGCGGTAGCCAACAAGGCGCAGATAACAACCTGTGAAGAAGAACATAACGATAGGTAAGTTTTTTATATTTATTTTTAAATTTTAAAATATTCTTATATCCTTTTCAAAACTTACAAATTTGAACATGTTTGATTGATTTGATTTGTTTTTGTTTAATGATCTCAAATTAACTGATGCTATTTCCTATGCTTTCCACAGTTTATATATGATTTTAATTTGTGGTTAATTTAAATCATAAATATTTTATATTGTTTTGACATTTACTTTGTCTTAACAATTTTTGCTCATATATTTTGCAAACATTTTTTATATATATTTTTTCACACATATGTCATGGACACACTTATGCATGATTTTTTCTTTTTGTGTATGAATCAGAGGTTTTGAGCAAAATTTTGTTATATTGAAATATTCACACAAATAAAGAGGTATCAATCGTATCTTATGTCTAGTTAGCATAATTTCTTTGTTAGCGATTATCTACACAAATCTATTGAGAATGAAAATTTGAGAATAGTTGTACCCTACAGTATTTTTAGTATTATGGTGGCTTTGATATTATTTGTAATGCATAGCAATATTAATTCCACACTCCCAATCAACTCAGAATTATTATATGAGAAGATTTAGCAATGACCGTCTGTCCGTCCCTTCGTCTGTCTATCAAACCTGTTGAAAATAGCAGCAATCGCTTCATTATTTCACCTAGCGCTCATATATAAACTTATGTATTTATGTCCAAATACTATTAATAACAACTTAGGGTATGATATGGTCGTCCATGTCCGTCTATATATATTCTTAGTAGTTTTCTATAGTGGATGTGGCGCAATGCTAGAAGCTACCAGTTATTTAGCATAATAATAGGCGTGTTACTAAGATTTCTTTCTTTGTTTGTGCTTCCGCCTATTATGGAAATATTTGAAAACAATTTATAACAAAATGTTATAGTTGTTGAAAGAAGCGTTTGGTATTATTAAAAAAAAAACACTTCTGATTAGTATATAGAAAAGTGTGTGATAATAATGAACCGATCCTTAACACGATTCTATTAACGCGATTATATCAAAGAGAATTCTAATGAATTTGACACAAGAATTAACATTTGAGAACAAACACGATATATGAAAGATTAACTGATATTATAATATTGGTCCTAAATCCACCTTAAAGTATACCGATCAACACAGAATCGATCTCTGAGTCGATTTAGACATGTCCGTCCGCCTGTCCCTCTGCGGCAGGCCGCAATTTTTGAAGATATTTTGAATATGGTTGAAATCGAATCATTATTTCACCTAGATCCAATGCAATCGGATCTTCGGATTTGGGGTTTTTAACTCATAGCTACAACAAACAAACTACATTTTCACCAAAAATTGGCACAACTAGGTATTTTAGGCATAAATAACCATGCCTTTTTATTTTATATTTATAACCTTTATATAAAAATTTTTGAGGATCGGCCCATATTTGACCCTAACTCCCATATAAAGTCTTTTTTAGAAATTTTATTTTTCATCAATAAATTGCTTAAATACATCGGAATTAAGGTAAAATTCATCATAAAAGTTCCTTTGTGAAAAATTATAGTTCAGTTCTAGTTCAGTTCTATTTCAGTTCTATTTCAGTTCTAGTTCAGTTCTAGTTCAGTTCTAGTTCAGTTCTAGTTCAGTTCTAGTTCAGTTCTAGTTCAGTTCTAGTTCAGTTCTAGTTCAGTTCTAGTTTAGTTCTAGTTCAGTTCTAGTTCAGTTCTAGTTCAGTTCTAGTTCAGTTCTAGTTCAGTTCTAGTTCAGTTCTAGTTCCGTTCTAGTTCAGTTCTAGTTCAGTTCTAGTTCAGTTCTAGTTCAGTTCTAGTTCAGTTCTAGTTCAGTTCTAGTTCAGTTCTAGTTCAGTTCTAGTTCAGTTCTAGTTCAGTTCTAGTTCAGTTCTAGTTCAGTTCTAGTTCAGTTCTAGTTCAGTTCTAGTTCAGTTCTAGTTCAGTTCTAGTTCAGTTCTAGTTCAGTTCTAGTTCAGTTCTAGTTCAGTTCTAGTTCAGTTCTAGTTCAGTTCTAGTTCAGTTCTAGTTCAGTTCTAGTTCAGTTCTAGTTCAGTTCTAGTTCAGTTCTAGCTCTGTTCTAGTTCTGTTCTAGTTCTGTTTTAGTTCTTTTCTAGTTCTGTTCTTGTTCTAGTTCTGTTCTAGTTCTGTTCTAGTTCTGTTCTAGTTCTGTTCTAGTTCTGTTCTAGTTCTGTTTTAGTTCTGTTCTAGTTCTGTTCTAGTTCTGTTCTAGTTCTGTTCTAGTTCTGTTCTAGTTCTGTTCTAGTTCTGTTCTAGTTCTGTTTTAGCTCTGTTCTAGTTCTGTTCTAGTTCTGTTCTAGTTCTGTTCTTGTTCTGTTCTAGTTCTGTTCTAGTTCTGTTCTAGTTCTGTTCTAGTTCTGTTCTAGTTCTGTTCTAGTTCTGTTCTAGTTCTGTTCTAGTTCTGTTCTAGTTCTGTTCTAGTTCTGTTCTAGTTCTGTTCTAGTTCTGTTCTAGTTCTGTTCTAGTTGTGTTCTAGTTCTGTTCTAGTTCTGTTCTAGTTTTAGGTTTGTTTTATTTCTGTTCTAGTTCTGTTCTAGTTCGAGTTCTAATTTTGTTTATTTCTGTTCTAGTTCTGTTCTAGTTTAGTTCCAAAACTTTTCAAAAATATCAAAATCTTCTAAATTCGATTTAAAAAACAAATCATTTATTTTTTAACTTCAAACAAATCCTTTAACAAAAATTTCAAACAAAACAAGGGATTCATGAAGTTATTAAACTAAAATGTTCTTAGAATCTACGACCGAAACCGTGGTGGGCTTCTTCCTTGGGTGGGTGAGTGCGGATATATTCCAAAGATTTCAAGATAGCTTCTGGGATGGGGTGGGGTGTGGGCAAAACATCACTGTTGGGTTGGTAACCGTTTTCATCGGCAACATAGCTAAGAGCAATGTGTTCGCCTTCAGGAGAGATCCATTGGAAGTCACCGTGGACATTACCGTAAGCATCACCGCTGGCCTTGGCACTGATGGCATTGGTGGTTTCCAAGTGGTAATCGAAACCATCGGGACGTACATCAGAATCGGCAGAGACGATTTCAGCATGAACATCATCGCTGGATTTGCTAACACCACGGTTGGAGTTGCCGAAACCGTTACCATGACCATGGCCATGACGTTGAGCGGTGGCAGCGGTGGCCAACAAGGCGCAGATAACAACCTGAGGAAAAAGAATATTAGAGTTTGTTTTTTTTTCTTCAATTTAGTTTAGTAAACTTACAAATTTGAACATTTTTGTTAAAGTTTTGATTTGTTTAGTGTTTTAAAATTAACTGATGTTTAAACTCAAATTATGTTAAGTTTATATACTACAATTTGGTGGGAATATTTTTAACTCTCAATTATTTAAAAAATTTACTATTTTTGAAGTTTTAAGATTCTTAGTTTTATTTGCTTTTATAAAGCTTTATTAGCTTTATTAAAAAATAAGTTTTCACTATTATTTTTTACTTAATACGTCATTTAGATGCTGGTATTATAATTATAATACTTTAATATATTTAAAAAATAACATATAATAATCTATCACAACCTACTTAACATTTTTTTATATTATTAAAACTTTTGTGTTTTTATACCCACCATCAAAAAAGATGGGGGGTATATTGATTTTGTCATTCCGTTTGTAACACATAGAAATATTGGTCATAGACCCACAAAAGTATATATATTCTGGGTCCTCATTAAATTCTAAGACGATCTAGCCATGTCTGTCCGTCTGTCCGTCTGTCTGTCTGTCTGTCTGTCTGTTGAAAGTACGATAGAGTCCGAATAGAAAGTGCTAGAGGGTTGAAATTTCACATAAATATTTCTTATAGGTAAGGTTTGTTTGGTGTTGAAAATGGGCAATATCGGTCCACGTTTTCGGATAGCCCCCATACAAGTGGCCCCTCGAAAAGCAGCTTTAACAGCCATGACTTGTTTAAAAATACGAATATAGCGATGAAATTCGATATAAGTAAGTTTCTTATGATCCAAAATCAATATGCGAAATTTTATGAGGATCGGTCCATAATTGACCCTACTCCCCATATAAGGTCCCCCTCAGAAAATGACTTTAACGCTCATTACTGGCTTAAAAATACTAGTATATAGATGAAATTCGACATAAGTAAGTTTCATACGAGTCAAAATCTATCTAAAAAATTTTATGAGGATCGGTCCATGATTGACCCTACCCCGCATATAAGGTCCCCTTCAGAAAATGACTGCAACGCTCATTAATGGTTTAAAAATACGAGTGTAGCGATGAAATTCGACACAAATAAATTTAATACGAACCAAATTCTATCTACCAAATTTATGAGGATCGACCCATAATTGACCCTACCCCCCTATACATGGTCCCCTTCAGAAAATTACTTTAACGCTTATAACTGGCCTACATAAGTAAGTTTCATTCGAGTCAAACGAGGTTTGATGGTGGGTATATAAGATTCGGCATAGCCGAATATAACACTCTTACTTGTTTTATTTAATTTCTTTAGTATGCAAAATTTTTATATTGAAAAAAAAAAAGTATGGTTGGTTTGCATTTTTATTTAGTTGGTCTAAAAAAACCAAAAACTGGTCATATTATTTTAAAACTGGTCTAAAATCTATCACCATCATCAACATCATCATTAAATCGCCTGATTATTTCTTATGTATCCGACGACTGACTTATGCAGAGCAAAAATAGCTGGGTGGTGTCTAAATTTTTTTACTTTATTAATTAGTTAAAGCTAAAAAATAATTGCCTTTAATCTATAAAATTGATGTCATAAAAGCAAAAGATTATAAATTTTATAGATTTGTGTGACTTGCTAACAAATTTGGTATTTGTGTACATTTTAAGCCAATTATAAGTTGTCATAATTGATCAAGTTGCTGTCAACGTTTTACGGTTGTCAAGGAGGGAATATGTTTGCCGTTAAGATACCCTATAACCTTTTAGTTTAATTAGGTTTTTTAAAACTGGGAGTGTCTTTAGAATAGTGGATCAAAGAGAACATACCGCAGTCATAAAAAAAAATTGAAGTCTAAATAAGCTGATAGTTAGACTATAGACTAGACTAGACTAGACTAGACTATATACTAACTAGACTATGACTAGACTATTAGACTAGACTAGAGACTAGACTAGACTATAGACTAGACTAGACTATAGACTAGATAGACTATGACAAGACTAGACTTAGACTAGACTAGACTAGAGACTAGACTAGACTATAGACTAGACTAGACTATAGACTAGACTATAGACTAGACTAGACTAGACTATAGACTAGACTATAGACTAGACTATAGACTAGACGATAGGACTAGACGGACTATAGACTAGACTATAGACTAGACTATAGACTAGACTATAGACTAGACTATAGATAGACTATAGACTAGACTATAGACTAGACTATAGACTAGACATATAGACTAGACTATAGACTAGACTATAGACTAGACTATAGACTAGACTATAGACTAGACTATAGACTAGACTATAGACTAGACTATAGACTAGACTATAGACTAGACTATAGACTAGACATAGACTAGACTATAGACTAGACTATAGACTAGACTATAGACTACAGACTATAGACTAGACTTAGACTAGACTATAGACTAACTTAGACTAGACTATAGACTAGACTATAGACTAGACTATAGACTAGACTTAGGACTAGCTATAGACTAGACTATAGACTAGACTATAGACTAGACTATAGACTAGACTATAGACCTAGACTATAGACTAGACTATAGACTAGACTATAGACTAGACTATAGACTAGACTATAGAACTAGACTATAGACTAGACTATAGACTAGACTATAGACTAGACTATAGACTAGACTATAGACTAGACTATAGACTAGACTATAGACTAGACTATAGACTAGACTATAGACTAGACTATAGACTAGACTATAGACTAGACTATAGACTAGACTATAGGACAGACTATAGACTAGACTTAGACTAGACTATAGACTAGACTATAGCTAGACTATAGACTAGACTATAGACTAGACTATGACTAGACTATAGACTAGACTATAGACTAGACTATAGACTAGACTATAGACTAGACTATAGACTAGACTATAGACTAGACTATAGACTAGACTATAGACTAGACTATAGACTAGACTATAGACTAGACTATAGACTAGACTATAGACTAGACTATAGACTAGACTATAGACTAGACTATAGACTAGACTATAGACTAGATATAGACTAGACTATAGACTAGACTATAGACTAGACTATAGACTATACTATAGACTAGACTATAGACTAGACTATAGACTAGACTATAGACTAGACTATAGACTAGACTATAGACTAGACTATAGACTAGACTATAGACTAGACTATAGACTAGACTATAGACTAGACTAGACTAGACTATAGACTAGACTAGACTAGACTATAGACTAGACTATAGACTAGCTATAGACTACTATAGACTAGACTATAGACTAGACTATAGACTAGACTATAGACTAGACTATAGACTAGACTATAGACTAGACTATAGACTAGACTATAGACTAGACTATAGACTAGACTATAGACTAGACTATAGACTAGACTATAGACTAGACTATAGACTAGACTATAGACTAGACTATAGACTAGACTGTAGATTAGACTATAGACTAGACTGTAGATTAGACTATAGACTAAACTATAGATTACTATATAGATAAGACTATAGACTATTCTATAGACTAGACTATAGACTGGACTATAGAAGAGACTAGACTCTAGTTGATGTAGGGTCATTTACAATTTCGTTCTTGATCAACTCCATTCTTGTTTATTCATTACTTTTTTCGGCAATCGTTTTATTTTAGTTTTGCTAGATATGTCAATTTGATATAAACTAAAGAAAAAAACTTACACTTCTTTTCTGCATTTAAAAGAGTTGAATCTTTTTCAAGTTTATTGACAAATTTCATAAGACAATAATGTCAAACATCTTAACAAAGCAAAATTTTACATACTTTTTCTCACAAAATCATTAAAGACCTTTAACATCCTTTAAATAAAAAAAAAAACTTTTTCCTTGCTGCAACATTTTCTTGCAACCAAGTCAATACAAATACATATTTTAATTGCACATGTGTCGTTTACTAAGACTATGTAAAATAAAAAGTGACAGAAACATTCGTTAGATAAACACCAACCTCAGTTTTTAATGATAAAAACTGAAAAGAACTAAAAGTTTTTGTAATTTTTTGTATAAAACTTTTACATTTGACAAGCTACAAGAATTTGAAACTTTTCTATAATTAATGTAAAATAATATGAAGTAAATATTTCATAGTATACCCATATGAAATTATTAAGGTAAATAAAATATGTAAAATTTTATGCAGTAAATAGTTACCAAAAATTTGATCAAAATCGGTAAATAGCATTTATTTAGGATTAATGATAAATTCTATTGAGAGATTTTTTCATATCGATTTTACTGTGATCGCCGGTTGATTGTAAACTCAATTAATAAATATGTATTAATCTATGCAGAGTGCATCTATTAAACGCTTCTCTTAATTACTCTTCTTTAAAAAGTTAACTGTTTCATTATAAACTTTATGTGGTTATAGGCGAGATCAAACGAGGCTAAACTAGTGACCGATGATCGATGTGATGTATGTATATGTGAACTTGATTTGAAGACAAGTTGGCGCCGTTCACGGCTATTAGCAATAAATCATAGCTTTATGGTATAGTTTACATTGTTGATATAATGTAAACAAATTAATAAAGTTATTAACAAAAAAATCGATTAATTTTTTATAATGAATGGGTTTTTTAATTAAATCAATAATTTGTTATTTGAAATTTTATATTTTTAGAAAAAAAAATACATTTGTCAATTTGTAAATGAATTTTCAAACAATTCTCCATCACTTAGAAATTAAGTAATATAAAATTTTTTATTGTAGATATTAATTTTTAATGAAAATCGATTTTTTTTTAAATTTTACAAAATGCAAAAAATTAATTTTTGGTGAAAAATCGAATTTATTTTTACTACAAATTTTCATTTTTCTAGTTCAGTTCTAGTTCAGTTCTAGTTCAGTTATAGTTCAGTTCTAGTTCAGTTCTAGTTCAGTTCTAGTTCAGTTCTAGTTCAGTTCTAGTTCAGTTCTAGTTCAGTTCTAGTTCAGTTCTAGTTCAGTTCTAGTTCAGTTCTAGTTCAGTTCTAGTTCAGTAGTTCAGTTCTAGTTCAGTTCTAGTTCAGTTCTAGTTCAGTTCTAGTTCAGTTCTAGTTCAGTTCTAGTTCAGTTCTAGTTCAGTTCTAGTTCAGTTCTAGTTCAGTTCTAGTTCAGTTCTAGTTCAGTTCTAGTTCAGTTCTAGTTCAGTTCTAGTTCAGTTCTAGTTCAGTTCTAGTTCAGTTCTAGTT